GAACACCAACCAGGTGGCTCAGTGGTGGGAGTGAGTGGCTCGCAATCGCCAAGGTTGCGAGTTCAACTCCTGGTTGGGAGCTTTACTCAGCCCACCATCTCATCATCCCCCAGGGTCGATAAAAATGAGAACGAATTTGCGGGGAAGTCAAGAGCGGGCCCGCGGAGAGAGACTTGGCCTCGCCATCAGAATATGGAATTTCCACCACTGGCTGTGCGCAGGAGATGATTCTGTCTTCAATGCGGAATTCAACAGAAAGTCACTCTCTACTTTTTATTTCACTTTAAAAAGTTCCGGGGGTGCGCCCTGTCCTTCCCCGTCGTGCCCTTAGCAAGTACGTTGCGAAAGAAGTTCAAGATGCGTACATACGTACGTACGTAATTCGGTGGCTGCGTGCGTGCGACCAGATGTGTGCAACTTTATTGACACCAGGCACAAGTTTGCGATGCGTCTCATAATTAGTTGAACACGTTTTAACACGTTGGTTTTCCATAATATAGTTTTTTTTTGGGTTAGATCCCGTAAATATAAATGTGTCGTTCAACCCGTCACCACCCGACACAGCCAACTAGTAAGATTTGTCACGTAAACAGAACGTGGCCAATTCGTTACTAGTACAGCACTAGTGTGTAGTGTATAGTGTAGTGTATAGTAGTGTATAGTGTAGTGTATAGTAGTGTATAGTGTAGTGTATAGTGTAGTATACTAGTACAGCACGCCGGTGTGTTGGAGAGCGAATCCACAACATTTGCAAACTGAGTACGATATTTCGCCAGTAATCACAACAAGCATCATCAGGCGGAGAGCACGATTTGTGGAGAAATCCTCCTCGTGTTTCGTTCTTTAAATAAAAGGGTAGATGTGATGTCGTTACTTGTGAGCACTTCACGTGCGAAGAGGTGGGGGGATTTCGCGAACCAATATTACAATTGTAAATTGTAAACGTTGTAGTCGGTTTACTTTCCAACACACCGGTGTGCTGAACTAGTCACGAATTGGCACGTTTTGTTCACGTGATGCAACATTACTGAATTGGCTGTGTCGGGTGGTGGCGGGTTTAACAACACATATTTTCGCGAGGTAACCCAACAAAACCTCTATTATTGATTGTTAAACGCGGTGCGCGAAAATATAGACACACACGCAAACATGTAATGTCTTTTTTTGTTGCAGGGTTTAAAGTCAAACTAATTCGCACGGATTAGTGAAGAGTGAAGGGATATTATTTTTTTTATCTGTATCCCATTTAATTGTATTCATTTTTCTGGCTTTTGCCACCAAATCCCACTGTGGCCAGCGTGGTGAAGGAGAGACAAGAGGACTCGGCTAGGTTTGAGGTTTGAGAGCCTGGACAAATGTTGAGAGTGCTGGCTGCCTTCCCGCTTATCTGTGGCCTCATGTGCCTCGAAATAATTATCTCTCTCTCTTTTTTTTACGATCAGAGGAAACAAGAAGATGCTCGGTGTAGTCGGCACTTTGCTTCGTTCACCATTTCGGTTTTTTTTCAATGCTTTGCTTTATGTGCTCCACCCCCCCCCCCCCTTTTAAATGAAACATTTAACAAAATATTTTACGCTCTTCTTACTCCTTTCCTCTCTCTGTACCCCCTCTCTCTACCCCCCTCCCCCTCTTTCTCCCGGAGAGTGAGAGCGAAAACTGACCGTGTGCGCGTTCCGAATTATAAAATGACTATTGTCGTCATGATTATGATCATCACGACTCTCATAATTCTGTGAGACACAAGCGGACGTCGTCTGGTTGACATTTCACGGTCGTGGTCATCGCTGTGGGAGAGCCGGTGGGAGCTTCGAGCAGCGGAGGCAACGGACGCGCGACGACGACGTCGACGTCGCGTGTCGCGCCGGAGCGGCATCGCTCGCAAAAAAAAAAGAACCGCGGGAAAGGAAGGGGGAGATCGGCGGAGGAATGCCGGGGTCCACGCGTTAACAATCCCCGCCATTGATGGGGCAGGTGATTCTGGCCCGCTTGTGCCTCGGGTAAAGTGACTGCTAAGTATCCCGTCTCTCGGCGGAGGCGTTTGCGGCCCGCTTTGCCCGTCGTATTTGTGTCGAGCGCTCGCTCAATCGCCCAGTGTTTGTCGCACAATGCCGCCAACATTTCTCGGGCTCCTGCTCTGCGCCGGAGGAGCGTGACCCCGAGGCGTCTCGGCTTTCGGCCTTGATTGCGACGATACGATTCCGAGTTAACAGCGCAGTTTGTATTGCTTATTTTATTTATTTAGCACAACACGCGTGCATTTATATATTACGTATATATGTTTTAAAATGTGAGTTTGTTACCCTAAACTCATTCTGGATCGCGTTGCGTCGTACCGGCGTTCATTTCGCGAACGAAACCGGTGACGAGGAACTTTCGCCAACGCAAGCGAGTTTCCGTTTTCCATCGGTCCAACGGGTGATAGAAGAAGAATAATAATGATAATTTTAATTCGTAAAGCGCCCTCAAACAATCGCTCTCAGGGCTACGATGAGCGCACGAGAATCATCGAGCGCCGGCCGGAGGGCGAAGCGAGAGACCCGTCCGTGATGACGCGAGACGGATTCGGGTCTGAACACGGACACGTACACACCGAGGTGTCCGTGCAGTACGTTGAATTTCCTTCGCGCCGTACGTAGCCGACCATGCTAATCGGAGGTGCACTACTCTGGAATGCGAATTGGTTGGATACGTAAGTCTTTTTTTTTTACTTAGTTCACCGATTGGCTGAGCTTATAATATTATGAGGATGGGCAGGGAGGATTTCGCACCTCCAATTAGCACGGTTGGCTATGTACAGTGCGAAAGAAGTTCAACATACATTTTGTCCATAGACTCAACACTACTCCTAGACTCAACACTGCCCATAGACTCAACACTACCCATAGACTCAACACTGCCCATAGACTCAACACTGCCCATAGACTAACATTACCCATAGACTCAACACTGCCCATAGACTCAACACTGCCCATAGACTCAACATTACCCATAGACTCAACACTACCCATAGACTCAACACTGCCCATAGACTCAACACTACCCATAGACTCAACATTACCCATAGACTCAACACTACCCATAGACTCAACACTGCCCATAGACTCAACACTGCCCATAGACTAACATTACCCATAGACTCAACACTGCCCATAGACTCAACACTGCCCATAGACTCAACACTACCCATAGACTCAACACTACCCATAGACTCAACACTACCCATAGACTCAACACTGCCCATAGACTCAACACTACCCATAGACTCAACACTACCCATAGACTCAACACTGCACCATAGACTCAACACTACCCATAGACTCAACACTGCCCATAGACTCAACACTGCCCATAGACTCAACACTACCCATAGACTCAACACTGCCCATAGACTCAACACTACCCATAGACTCAACACTACCCATAGACTCAACACTACCCATAGACTCAACACTGCACATAGACTCAACACTACCCATAGACTCAACACTACCCATAGAATCAACACTACCCATAGACTCAACACTACCCATAGACTCAACACTGCCCATAGACTCAACACTGCCCATAGACTCAACACTACCCATAGACTCAACACTACCCATAGACTCAACACTGCCCATAGACTCAACACTGCCCATAGACTCAACACTATCCATAGACTCAACACTACCCATAGACTCAACACTACCCATAGACTCAACACTGCCCATAGACTCAACACTGCCCATAGACTCAACACTACCCATAGACTCAACACTGCCCATAGACTCAACACTACCCATAGACTCAACACTGCCCATAGACGCAACACTGCCCATAGACTCAACACTGCCCATAGACTCAACACTGCCCATAGACTCAACACTACCCATAGACTCAACACTGCCCATAGACTCAACACTACCCATAGACTCAACACTACCCATAGACTCAACACTGCCCATAGACTCAACACTACCCATAGACTCAACACTGCACCTCCGATTCCGCAGTTGGCTACGTATGGTGCGAAAGAAGTTCAACATATATACACACTACCCAGAGACTAACACTACCCATAGACTCAATCTTTGTATTTAAAGTCAGCTCGTCATCCCGTGTACATACAAAAAGCAGTTGGAAAGAAATTCGTTTTCAATTTAGTATGGTTGTGAAGTGTATAGTAGTGATAGTGTAGTGTATAGCGTAGTGTGTGCAGTGTAGTGTATAGCGTAGTGGATAATAGTGTAGTGTATAGTGCGGTATGTATGCTGAACTTCTTTCGCATTGTACGTAGCCAACCGTGCTAAGTGAAGGGAGAAAGGACAACAAACTAAACACAACAACAACAACAACAAGCAGTTCTAAAGAAATTCTTTTCAAGTGAGCCCATTTTTTCTCTCCACCGCCAGGCGTCGGCCCTTTCCCACACGCCCTCCACTGCGTTTGCGACGGACACTTTAGATTTCAATGTGTCGTTTAACCCGCCACCCCCAGACACAGCCAACTAGTAAGAGTTGTCACGTACACAGAACGTGCCAAATCGTCACTAGAACAGCACACCTGTGTGTGTTGGAGAGCCAAGCCACAACATTTACAATCGGAGTACGACGTTTCGCCAGTAATTACAACAATCAGGCGACGGCCAGATTTGTGGAGAAATCCTTCTGTAAATAGAGGTAGATGTGATGACGTCACTTGTGTGCTCTTCTTGCACGAAGTGGGGGAGGGATTAATGAATGCATATAAATGACTATCGGTATCCATTGCCGTTTGGGTTATTGAATTGGTAATCAACTCACGTTATGCATATGCATGTTGTAAGCCCATTGTTCTTATACTTCCTGTCGATTGTGCATACTAATATACATAGCTGTACCAATGCTAATCCCTATTGAAGTATGTTGAGGTGTATAGGCATGCATTTAAACAATGTATTATTTGATAATTCGCTTCCAAGCAGCACGAAGTCTGCAGCTATCCGAATGGTTAAAATCACTCTTTACATTTTGTCCGCGCAGGGGAAAACGCGGCGCTGGATTTCGAGATCACGTCGGGCGACCCCGAGCGCCGTTTCTCCGTGGACGCCCGCGGGGTCCTCCGTGTGGCCCGGCCGCTGGACCGCGAGTCGCGGCCCTCCCACGATCTCCTCGTGACGGCCGCGGACCGAGCGGCCCCCCCAGCCCCCCGTTTCACCGCCACGGCCGCCGTCCTCGTCCGGGTCCTCGACGCCAACGACAACGGGCCGGCCATCGTGGCCCTGCGGGTGTCCGGCCGCGGATTGGTCCCACGGGAGGAGCCGGCGGAAGGCGGGGCCTGGCCGGCCTTCACGCTGACCGTGCCGGAGGACGTGGCCCCTGGGTCCACGGTGGCCACCGTCGTCGCATTGGACCCAGACGAAGGAGAGAATGCGGAGGTGGAGTTCTCCCTGTCGTGGTCGCGGCCGGAGGTGAGGCTCGGTGTTGTAGCGTTCTTATTTACGTGGACTTGCGGGAAATGTTAAAGCCCGGCATGCGACGTTGCTGCGAGGTCGCGAGTCGTTCTGTGCTCTCGCCCCCGATCTTCTTGTTTCGTATCAATTAATAGCAGCGAGAATGAAAGATATAATTTTAGATGTTATTTTATCAAAGGCGTTTCTATTCTTCGTTTTGCTATATTTTATCGAATCTTATTCCTCACTCTCGATGCACTATTTTTCAATATGTTTCTGTAATCTTAATGTTCAGTTTAGTTAAATATTAAATTTATAATTAAGTAATATATTGTAAAAAAAATAATTTGTTGACTTTTTTCATTGCTGTATTTATTGTGTTTATAATTTTTATGCGACCTGCAAACGTTTCACTTCACGTGCCAGAAGCTTCTTCGAGAATCCACTTCCTGTAGCTCACAGCAAACAATCGCCGGTATCACCTGAAATCACACCAGCGAGCTGTACAACACAATCGAATAACTATTCAGAGTCGCATCCTTTTCACCTTTTCGGTGTTCCCAGTTCCTCCTCCCCGCCACCCCCTCCTCATCGATCAATCAAACAGGAATCCCCTCTTCTCACCCCCCCCACCCCGGCCCCAAGGGATCACGACCGCCGCCGCCGTTCACGATCGGCAGCTCGCGACGGCGTCATCCGCACGTCGGCTGACCTCGACCGGGAGTCGAACCTGACGTCGGCGGCGTCCTCGGGGCGCTACGAGCTGATGGTGCTCGCGAGCGACCGGGCGGGCACGCAGGCGGCGGCGACGCCGCAGCCGCCACCGGTAGGCGCGGCGACGGTACTCGTCATCGCCGAGGACGTGAACGACAACCGGCCGCGCTTCGCCGCGCCGGCGTACCGCGTCCGTGTCCCGGAGGACGCCCGTGTCGGCGCCGTCGTGGCGCACCTGTCGGCCGCGGACTGCGGACGCGGGTCCTCAACGGACGGGTCCGATACCGGATCGTGCCGCGTCGACAGCGACACGAGGTAGCTCCGCGGCGGGGGCGTGAGGTTTATTGGCGAATATCGCGTTGTCGAAATTCATATGTTTATATTTTTGTTTTTAAATCTCCCCACGCCCTGTCCACCCGATAGTGTAAATGGCCACGCCACAGTTAGTTGATCAGCAAAACATTGTGTGGCGGTAGGGCAAAGCGTGGGAACTCTCACGGAGTGGTGGCGTAGCAGTTAGCGCTTCTCTGCGCTACGAACCCGGTGGCCCGAGTTTGATTCCCGCTCACGGCCAACGCCGGTGACGATTCTCTGAACCGGTCCCGGGCTTCCCCTAGGTCGACTCAGCCTCAAATAAGTTCCTGGTGCGGTGCGTTAACATTATCACTGGTGAGACAAAGGTGGCTGGGCGTGGTACTGACCACCGACCCCCTCGTGTGCCGTGCCAGCCTACGTAAGTGCTTGCTAACAGCACTTGCCCCAACAGTCTGTTACAGGCTGTAGGGAGTCTTTGTCTGAGACATCTGGCCAGTGTTGAGGGAGCAGCAGCAGGCCCTCGCGGTCGCGCTGCCGCGTGTTTTGTGGGTCGTGCCCCGCGCCATACGGCGTCGCGCTCCGCGTGCCGGTTTTGGCGTTCGGTATGGCCGGGAAGCGGCGACAACACCGATGACAACTCGAGGCCGTGTGACCGGCGGCAGCTCTGTGCGCGCGACGACTGCGCCGGGACCGGAGCGGAGGGCTCACGCCGCGGGGACACGGAAGAGAACGACGACGACGAAGAGGAGGAGCGGGACGACGACGCCGCGTTCCGTATCGACCCGGTGACGGGAGAGCTGCGAGTCGCTCGCGGCCTGGACCGCGAGCGCAGGGACGCGTACCGCCTCGTCGTGGAGGCGCGCGACGGGGGCTCGCCGGCGCCGCTCGCTTCCGCCGTCGCCGTGGCGGTCTCCGTCACTGACGTCAACGACCGCGTCCCGTCGTTCGGGAGCGACGGCGTCGTGGCCGGGGTCCCGGAGGGCCTTGGCGGGCCCGCGGGCGGCCGCTCCAGATCGCCCAGGTGAGAGCCCTTTCCCCCCGACCGTCGACCGCTCGCGGGGCAACGGCGACGACGCCAGCTGATATTGAATCCCTCCGCCCGCGTTTTCCTGCCCCCCCCCCCCCCGTCTACAGCTGTCGGCGCGCGACGACGACCTGGGCCCGGCGGGCGTGGTGTCGTACGCCGTGGTAGGGGGAGACTACGAGCGCGACGCATTCTCACTGTCGGCCTCGGGGAGGCTCGACCTGCTGCGCCCGCTCGATCGCGAGGCACGGCCCCGCCACCTGCTGCTCGTCACGGCCACCGACGCCGGTACATGAGAGCGGATGCCTCGGTTCACGAGCCAGGCGATCGCCGGCCTCGCCGACTCCGAGTGGGCCGTGTGGCCCACTCGTTAAAATTTTTTACTTTTTTTTACCAGTGAAAGGCCCATTGAGCTGCTATGTGTCTCTTTTTCAGAAGCGACCTGACTACCACAAATAATAGTTCAACGAACTGGGCTTATCAGGTGGAAATTTACAGTAGCTGAATACTCTAAACATACGACGTTGATTCTAAATGTGGAGGAAAAACCCGAAGGACCCGGAGAGAAATCCACACGACCACAGGGAGAGAGATAGACAAACTCCAAATATACAGCAGGCGTGAGGGTCGGGATTGAACCCACGACCTCCTGCATACCAAGCGAGGTAGTTAACATCTCCTAGCCACCGTGATGTTGATGAGACAGAGAGAGACATGCAGACTCCAAATATACAGCAGGCATCATCACGGCCGGGATCGTACCCATGACCCCCTGTATACCAGGCGAGGTAGTTAACATCTCACTATTGTGGTGCCCTCTTTAAGCTGAGCCACCTGCCCTAGGTCGACTCGGCCTAAACGGACCACCCGGTGCCGCTTGGAAATGTCGGCTGGCGAGACCAAGGTGACCAGGCGCGGCACTGGCCATGCCACCCCTAACGTGTGCCGTGCCGGCCCTGGTAGGCGCCACTCGCTCACGGCACTCATGCCCCCGGCAGAGCCGAGTAGGCTGCACGGGGGAACTTAGTAGGCGACTGGCAGCACGCTGAGCGAGTCGCTTTGCGTTTCATTTTCATCAGCTCCGTCTCTCCGCACCGCAGGCTCCCCGCCTCTCACCGGCACCGCCACGCTCACTGTGCTCGTGGGCGATGCCAACGACAATGCTCCGCGCTTCCCGGGCCGCGACGTGCGCCTGCAGGTGGAGGAGGGTGCCGCGGCCGGCACCGTGCTGTGGACGGCGCGAGCGGAGGACCCGGACGAGGGCCCTAACGGCACCGTCACGTACGCTCACTCGCCCGCCCGCTCGCACAGCCACTCGCTCGCTCACCCGCTCACTCACTCACTCACTCGCTCACTCAATCACTCATGCACTCACCTGCCTGCTCACTCGCCCGCTCACTCACCCGCTGTCTCGCCCGCCCGCCCACTCACTCACTCGCTCACCCGCTCACGCACTTGCACGCTCACTGACCCGCTCACTCACCAGCTCGGTCACCCGCTCACTCGCCCGCTCATTCACTCATTCACTCACTCACCCGCTCACTCACAGCTCCCCAACGTTTGTGTCTATGACATCCGTTTGATATCTGCCGTGAGGTTCCTGAGACAGAGAGATGACAACAGGGAGACAGGGAGACAGAAGGACACGGAGAGAGATAGAGAGGCACTTACAGAGACAGCTGCATTACACAAACCCACCTTGTGTTACTTCTCCTTCGCCCGTTCGAGCCTTCGCGTGTCTCCGAGTCAACGTCCGTGTGTCTCCCGCGACCGACGGCGTCGTCACAGGTACCGCCTGGAAGGGGGTGAGGGGGCCCTCGAGATCGATGCCGCGACGGGCGAGCTGCGGACGCTCGCGCCACTCGACCGCGAGTCGCGCGACGGCTACCCGCTGCTCGTGTGGGCCACGGACGGGGGTGCCCGCACCGGCGGCGCCCTCTCCACGTCCGTCTCCGTGCTCGTCACCGTCACGGACGTCAACGACAATGGGCCGGCGTTCCTCAACGCGCCGTACGTGGCGAGCGTCCCCACGCCAACGCCGAGCGGTAAGCGGGCGGGCGGACGGGTGGACGGGCGGCTGCTCGTGAGAATAAATGCTGCCGAGCCTGGTTCCGAGACCCGGTGTTGCAGACCGCAGTGGTGGTGCAGTGCCGTGGTACGAAATGAACGCCACTGCTCAGAAGGGTATTGCCGCTGCAGCCAGCCGCTCTCCTTGCGTGCGGCGAGATGGATGGTGAACTCGTAAGTCCGTGTCCAGATTCCAGGTATTTGTGCAGCAACACACCCAGTGTTTTACAGCAACACACCCAGTGCTTTACAGCAACACACCCAGTGCTTTACAGCAACACACCCAGTGCTTTACAGCAACACACCCAGTGCTTTACAGCAACACACCCAGTGCTTTACAGCAACACACCCAGTGCTTTACAGCAACACACCCAGTGCTTTACAGCAACACACCCAGTGCTTTACAGCAACACACCCAGTGCTTTACAGCAACACACCCAGTGCTTCACAGCAACACACCCACTGCTTTACAGCAACACACCCAGTGCTTTACAGCAACACACCCACTGCTTTACAGCAACACACCCAGTGCTTTACAGCAACACACCCAGTGCTTTACAGCAACACACCCAGTGCTTTACAGCAACACACCCAGTGCTTTACAGCAACACACCCAGTGCTTTACAGCAACACACCCACTGCTTTACAGCAACACACCCAGTGCTTTACAGCAACACACCCAGTGCTTTACAGCAACACACCCAGTGCTTTACAGCAACACACCCAGTGCTTCACAGCAACACACCCAGTGCTTTACAGCAACACACCCAGTGCTTTACAGCAACACACCCAGTGCTTTACAGCAACACACCCAGTGCTTTACAGCAACACACCCAGTGCTTTACAGCAACACACCCAGTGCTTTACAGCAACACACCCAGTGCTTTACAGCAACACACCCAGTGCTTTACAGCAACACACCCAGTGCTTTACAGCAACACACCCAGTGCTTTACAGCAACACACCCAGTGCTTTACAGCAACACACCCACTGCTTTACAGCAACACACCCAGTGCTTTACAGCAACACACCCAGTGCTTTACAGCAACACACCCAGTGCTTCACAGCAACACACCCAGTGCTTTACAGCAACACACCCAGTGCTTCACAGCAACACACCCAGTGCTTCACAGCAACACACCCAGTGCTTCACAGCAACACACCCAGTGCTTTACAGCAACACACCCAGTGCTTCACAGCAACACACCCAGTGCTTTACAGCAACACACCCAGTGCTTTACAGCAACACACCCAGTGCTTCACAGCAACACACCCACTGCTTTACAGCAACACACCCAGTGCTTCACAGCAACACACCCAGTGTTTTACAGCAACACACCCAGTGCTTTACAGCAACACACCCAGTGCTTTACAGCAACACACCCAGTGCTTACAGCAACACACCCAGTGCTTTACAGCAACACACCCAGTGCTTTACAGCAACACACCCAGTGCTTTACAGCAACACACCCAGTGCTTTACAGCAACACACCCAGTGCTTTACAGCAACACACCCAGTGCTTCACAGCAACACACCCAGTGCTTTACAGCAACACACCCAGTGCTTTACAGCAACACACCCAGTGCTTTACAGCAACACACCCAGTGCTTACAGCAACACACCCAGTGCTTCACAGCAACACACCCAGTGCTTTACAGCAACACCCCCAGTGCTTTACAGCAACACACCCAGTGCTTCACAGCAACACACCCAGTGCTTACAGCAACACACCCAGTGCTTCACAGCAACACACCCAGTGCTTTCACAGCAACACACCCAGTGCTTCACAGCAACACACCCAGTGCTTTACAGCAACACACCCAGTGCTTCACAGCAACACACCCAGTGCTTTACAGCAACACACCCAGTGCTTTACAGCAACACACCCAGTGCTTCACAGCAACACACCCAGTGCTTCACAGCAACACACCCAGTGCTTTACAGCAACACACCCAGTGCTTTACAGCAACACACCCAGTGCTTTACAGCAACACACCCAGTGCTTTACAGCAACACACCCAGTGCTTCACAGCAACACACCCAGTGCTTCACAGCAACACACCCAGTGCTTTACAGCAACACCCCCAGTGCTTTACAGCAACACCCCCAGTGCTTCACAGCAACACACCCAGTGCTTTACAGCAACACACCCAGTGCTTTACAGCAACACACCCAGTGCTTCACAGCAACACACCCAGTGCTTCACAGCAACACACCCAGTGCTTCACAGCAACACACCCAGTGCTTTACAGCAACACACCCAGTGCTTTACAGCAACACACCCAGTGCTTTACAGCAACACACCCAGTGCTTTACAGCAACACACCCAGTGCTTCACAGCAACACACCCAGTGCTTTACAGCAACACACCCAGTGCTTTACAGCAACACACCCACTGCTTTACAGCAACACACCCAGTGCTTCACGTCGGGGATGCGTCCCCGAAGGGTGCAACGACGAATATCGAAACGACGTCAATCAAAGCGATTCACACGGTAATCGTAGTAGGTGCTGGTAGTGGTGGTGGAGGAGGGGGAGGCGAAGGCTAAGAGGCGACAGATAACAAGACAGGACGGACGACGACGATGCTGTGAGTGGGGTTGAGGTGACGCTACTCGGGGTAGCCGCGTTGATAATAACGTGACGAGAGTATTTGCGAAATGACGTTAAAGGGAAAGACGTAATTCGGGGTGTTACTGGTTACGTATAAAACCTGAAAGGCGAAATTCAGATTTGGTTTAACACGTAGTAAGGCTTCCGCGACCAATATAGAGGTTTGGATTAGATCGCGTAAATATAAATGTCATTAAACCAGCCACCATCCGACACAGCCAATCAGTAAGGTTTGTCAACGTGAACAAAAACGTGCCAATTCGTTACCGGTACAGCGCACCGGTGGTGTGTTTGGGAGTAAATCCACAACATTTACAATTCGAGTGCTGTGACGTTTCGCCAGTGATTACAACCAGCATCGTCAGGTGACAGCCAGCGTTGTGGAAAAATCCTCCTGTTTCAGTCTTAAATGGAGGGATAAATGTGATGTCATTACCTGTGAGCCAATCAGGTGCAAAGGCCGGAGGGGGTGGGGGGGGGGGTTTAATGCTTCATATAAATTGTTAGCCAGGACGTGGCTTCAGTTGAAGTTCGTTTGGAGGGCTTCGAGTTCACAGTGCGGTCACACACAACGTGTCTCATCGACTTACATCGCACAGAAACCCATAGACTCGCATAGAGACCTTTAAACTCGCACATAAACCCGTAGACTCGCATAGAGACCTTTAGACTCGCACATAAACCCGTAGACTCGTATAGAGACCCCTAGACTCGCACATAAACCCGTAGATTCGTATAGAAACTTGCATAATGGTTCACTGCTGTGTGGTCAGTGTTCCCACGTTCACACTCTGATTGTGACGGTCGCTGTGGGTGGATCTGTCGAGAGACGCACGGATTCCATTGAGTGCGTTGAACGTGTGTGTGTATATGTACGTTGAACTTCTTTCGCGCTGTACGTAGCCAACCGTGCTAATCAGAGGTGCGGGGAAGGACAACAAACTAACGCACAAAAATTTGTTCTAAAGAGAGTCGTTTTCAATATAGGTGATTTAATAGCGCACAGCCCCAGTGGCTTCCTGATATCCGAAGGAAGATCATTGCAGACGTCCGCAGAAGCGCATCTGAAAGCGTCACACTATGCGGCGTTGGTCTTTGTTCGACGGCCGAGCCAAAAAAGCCGCCGCTGCGAGGGTGACCATAGGAGTCCACGTGATGGTCGCGCGTACGGTAGAGATTCACCCCCGGCGGTTCTATTTCGTGAAGCCGCGGAAGCCCCAATTTGCCAGGCGACCTTGCTGTGCCAAAGAGCAATCTGCACGACTAATAGGCGGTGGCGGTTGATTTAATTGGTCGTGGTGTATGAGCCAATGGGGTGAGGATGTGACAATCGTCACTGCCGGTGACACCTGGCGGTCACCTGTCCCAGGCCTCACCTGGCTCACCAACCAACCCTGGCTGGCTGGCGATGCGACGGTGTGCATTTACTACGGGGAAAAAAACAACTTGTTAAAAAAACGATGGTGAGTGATGCGAGACCCATGCATCCTCTCCAGCGTGACCTCTGCCTGCCGGCCATGACCTCTTCTCCTGTGATCAGGGTCAACGGACAAAGAGGCCAGGCACGCGTGGCTGCCGCACCGCCACCTCCCCGCGTGCCGGGCCGGGTCCTTTCATTGTCGCTCATTAAACGTACTTGCCCTCGCTCGCTTTCCGTGGCCTTCACGGTGAAACTGGGTCTGGTGGGGGTGAGTGCGTGTGTGTGTGCAGAGCGGTAGTGTAGTAGCGGTTAGCGCGCTGCGCTACGAATCTGGCGACCCGGGTTTGATTCCCACTCACGGCCAACATCAGTAACGATTATCTGAACTGGTCCTGGGCCTCCCCTAGGTCGACTCAGCCTGAAATGAGTACCGAGTGAGGTGTGTAAACATCGCCACTAGGGAGACAAAGGCGGCCGGGCGTGGTGCTGGCCACCCACCCACCCCCGCGTGTGCCACAGTGCTGGCCTTCATAGGTGCTGCTACTCGCTCACAGCACTTGCCCCAACACTATATTACAGACTATACAGGGGATCTTTGTCTGTACATGTGTGTGCCTGTCTGTCCATGTGTGTGTAAGTGCGAGTCTGTGGCCGTGTGCCCATATGTCTCTTGTCTATGTGCTGTTCGAATCTGGCAGGCTGCCCTGGTTATCACGGTGGCGTGCATTCACTCTAAAATACCGCGCACCGTCACAGTCGACGCGAGACATCCGGTGACGTCATTCACAAAACCAGCAGGACACCGTGTGCCGACGTCATCGTCCACATTTCACCAAATAAACAAAAAAGTTACCGGCAACTTGCTCGATTTTAATTGCACGGAATGACGTCGCCCCCGACGGGGCAAATGACCGCAGATCGCGTCTAACCTTTGTGACGATCGCCCGATGTGACGAGAACAGCACGGACACCAAACGTACTCAGTTATTACGACCGCGGTGGCTAGGAGATGTTAACTACCTCGCCTGGTATACAGAAGGTCGGGGGTTCAATCCTGACCCTCACGCCTGCTGTATATTTGGAGTTTGCGTGTCTCTCATCATCATCACAGGTGGCTAGAGATGTTAACTACCTCGCCTGGTATACAGAAGGTCGGGGGTTCAATCCTGACCCTCACGCCTGCTGTATATTTGAAGTTTGCGTGTCTCTCATCATCATCACGGTGGCTAGGAGATGTTAACTACCTCGCCTGGTATACAGAAGGTCGTGGGTTCAATCCTGACCCTCACGCCTGCTGTATATTTGGAGTTTGCGTGTCTCTCATCATCATCACGGTGGCTAGATGTTAACTACCTCGCCTGGTATACAGAAGGTCGTGGGTTCAATCCTGACCCTCACGCCTGCTGTATATTTGGAGTTTGCGTGTCTCTCATCATCATCACGGTGGCTAGGAGATGTTAACTACCTCGCCTGGTATACAGAAGGTCGTGGGTTCAATCCTGACCCTCACGCCTGCTGTATATTTGGAGTTTGCGTGTCTCTCATCATCATCACGGTGGCTAGGAGATGTTAACTACCTCGCCTGGTATACAGAAGGTCGTGGGTTCAATCCTGACCCTCACGCCTGCTGTATATTTGGAGTCTGCGTGTCTCTCTCCCTGTGGTCGCGTAAATTTTTCTCCGGTTCCACTTTTTTCCTCCACTTTTTTCTTCCACGTTCAAATCAACATCATGCTTCTCGAGTATTTGGCTGCTTATAAATTTCGTTGAGCTATCATTTGGCAGATCGCTTCTAAAAAATAGCTACATACCTTAGACGGACCTCACCTGCTAAACCAAAAAATACTAAATGGACGTATTGGCAGTCCACCAGTGCAGCATAAAACACCGGTCCTCATAAAACCGTCTAAAATCTATATTTGAATCAGCAAATCTGTTTATCAGTGTTTAATGGACCCTGTTACCAATTTTGATGCAATTATAATGTCTAATCAGTCTTCTGAGACTTCAAAATAAAGGTGATCAGTCATGGGACCTCCTTTGCCAGTACCAAAATATGATAATAGGTTTTCCCCTTTTTTCTGGCAACAAAACAGGTGTTAAGATGTTAAAACACCAAACTGAAACTTTTTACAAGGAATCATGTCTGCATTAACCACAATACTTGCAGACATGATTCCTTGTAAAAGGTTTCAGTTTGGTGTTTTAACATCTTAACACATCTGTTTGAATTCCTGCCGTGACCTGCTTTGTTGCCAGAAAAAAGGGGAAAACCTCTTCTCATATTTTGGTACTGGCAAAGGAGGTCCCATGATATAGCTGCTCACCCCTGATAGTGCGTTGTCATTGTGCTGTACGCCTTTTGGCGTTCTCTAGTCTAACACCGTTTGAGACGAGGCTCCAAAGAAAGCTGTCTCTGGTGTGGACCAGTCCGTTTCAAAGACAATTCATATATTATCAGAGTATGTTTTTTGTTTGTATTCTGACCACCAAGTATTGTGGTTAATGCAGACATGATTCCTTGTAAAAGGTTTCAGTTTGGTGTTTTAACATCTTAACACAGCTGTTTTGTTGCCAGAAAAAAGTGGAAAACCTATTCTCAAGGTGATCAGTATTGACAATATTGATTTGGGTCCGTCGCAGCCATCCATTTCCACACAATGAAGTGCCGCTTTGTTTGCCTATCGCTTGCTGTCCAGGCCTACAGCAACCTGTTGGTACAATCCAAGCGCTATCCAGAATAAAATTTGCTTAGCTTCCGAGAACTAACGGGTTCGCAAGCGTGACATCTTGGATTATGTTGCTGCTATACATTTACCCGTTATCATCTACTTTGTTGAACTATCGTTCGCTGTCCAGATTGCTTCAGAAAAAGAGCTACGTAGCTCAGTGGGCCTTACCTGGTAACAAAGAGTTGATGGTAAATGGTTCAACCGAGTGTGCCGTAATTGCGTGCGTGCGCTCACCTCTCCAGGCGCCCTCATCTTCGTCCCCACCGCCGTCGACGCCGACTATGGCGCCAACGCGTCCCTGCGCTTCTCGCTGTCGGGCGACGATGCTCACCTCCTGGCGCTCGATCCCTCGCTGGGCTCGCTGAGCGCCGCCGCACCGCTCCGCGGCCCCGCCGACTTCACCGTGCACCTCGCGGCCACCGAGCTCGCCCCTCCGCACCGCAGCGCCGCCACCACCATCACGGTCCGCTTCCGGGACGCGGCCTCGTTCCCGCGTCCCCGCGTGCGCCTTCGGTCGCCGCCGCCCATCGCGCTGCCGGAAGACGCGCCGGCGGGGACGACCGTGGCCGGGGTGGAGGCCGAGACATCCCGGCCCGGCGCGGCCCCCGTGTGGTTCTACGCGGCGGGCGGAGGGGACGGCCCGTTCGAGGTGGAGCGGGCGAGCGGGGCCGTGTCGCTGGCTAGGCCGCTGGACTTCGAGGAGCGGGCGAGCGTGGCCGTGTTCGTGGAGTGCCGCGACGCGGGCTTCCCGCCGTTCTCCAGCTACGTGAGGGTGGACGTGGCCGTCACGGACGTCAACGACAACGTGCCGCGCTTCGAGCGCGACCCCGTCACGTGCCAGGTGACGAGCGGAGAGATGCGCCGCTGATATTAGGAGAAGGTGGTACAGCGGTGGTTTCGTTTTTATTTTCCACCCCAAAGTGTTATTCTCGTCGTGTTATTGTTATTGGGTGGAAAAGTCACGTTTATGAGATGCACGGTTACATTTTTCATGCCGTGAGACACATAATCTGTCCGTAACTTGTCTGTTTGAAAACGGCCTGCAGAAGTGGCTATTTCAAAGTCCACGCAAAATGAGTCGATGCGTTCACACCCACTCCACCACCATCATCAGGCACATGACAAGTCAAACGGAAATTTGTTAATGTTAAGAGCTGGATTTTGCCCACGTTCAGTGCACAATGCAATGAATGCGGTGTTTTTGTGCGCACGGTCATTTGCGCCCAGGCTGAGACAATCAACTCGCTGCACTCAAGAAGCCAGTTTTAATGCCTTCAAGTGAAGATACTTATCATCGTCAATCAACAACCCTTGGTGTGTTGGTGGTGGTGGCGGCATAGACACAACGTACATTACAACGTGTAAACGAGTTTTTCTGCACGTGTGTGGACCAGGTCCCGGAGAACTCTCCCGCGGGCCCCATCCCGGGCTGTGTCCTGCAAGCGTCCGACGCTGACGCCGGCCCCGGCGGCGCCGTGCGCTACTCGCTCACGCCGCCCCCGGGCGGCCTCCCGGCCTTCGCCGTCGACCCCGCCAGCGGGCAGCTCAGCACCCTGCACCCACTGGACCGCGAGACGGGCGCCACGCACGAGCTGCTGGCGCTGGCGGAGGACGGCGACGGCGTCACCGCCGCCGCCGTCATCGCGGTGACGGTGCTCGATGCGGACGACAACCCCCCGCGCTTCCCGCGCATCTTCACCGGCGCGGTGCCGGAGGACGCCGCCCCGGGGACGGTCGTGCTGCGCACATGGGCCGAGGACGAGGACGAGGGTGACAATGCCGCCATGTCCTACTCCCTGGTGCCGACGGCGACGCCGGCGCCGTTCTCCGTCGAGCCGGAAACCGGCGTGGTGCGGGTGGCCGCGCCGCTCGACCGGGAGGCTGCGGGGGGCAGGCGGCACGCGCTGCGCCTGCTGGCGCGCGGCGCCGCGTTCGCGGTCAACACGGACGTGGTGGTGGTCGTGACGGACGTCAACGACAATGCGCCGGCGTTCGTCGGGGTGCCGTCATCACCGCTGGCAGTGCCCGAGTGCCTGCTGGAGGGTGGCTGCCTGGTGGCGCGCGTGGCCGCGGCGGACCCCGACGATGGGGAGAACGGGGAGGTGTTTTACTCGCTCGGCGGCGACAACGACATCCTGGAGGTGAGTGAACATCGGCGGGGAGAATTTGTTGGAGCCGCGTGGTCCAGCAAGCGCCGACGCGTCCTCCGTCACTCGCGAATGATTCTCCTGCATCTGACCTGAAATGCCGACCGCCCCTTTCAGGAATTCTGCGTCGATGCCTCCACGGGCGAGATCTCGACGCGCGGCCGCCTCCTCCTGCCGCGACCCCCGACCTCGGCCCTCCTCGGCCACCGTGTCCTCCTGACGCTCGTGGCCTCGGACCGCGGCCGCCCCGAGCCGCTCACCTCCGAGACGACGCTCGCCGTGGACCTCGTCTACGCCAACGAGCACCCGCCCGTCTTCTCGGCACCGCTCTACGTCACCACCGTGGCGACCTCAGCACCCGTCGGCTCCCGCGTGCTCCGCGTCTCAGCTTCTGACGACCGCGACCTCGGCCCCGCCGCCGAAGTCGTTTTCTCCATCGTCGACGGAAATGGCAGCGCCGGGCCTACGCTGTTCACGGTGGACCCTGCCGGCGGGTGGCTGACGCTCCGCTCTGCGTTGCGCGGTCGCGCTGGCACCACCCTCTCGCTCGCCGTGCGGGCGCAGGACCGCGGCCTGCCGCGGCCGCTCTCCGCTGAGGCAGCGGTGCTCATGAGGGTCGTCGAGGATGGCTGGGCAGCCCGGGGGCCGGCGTTCGCGAGAGCCGAGTTCGTTGCCACCGTGCCCGAGTGCACACCGCTCGGCTCCGCGGTGCTGCTCGCGGTGGCGGAGGCGGCGGAGGACGCGGCCGGGCCGCCGCTGGTCTACTCGCTGTTGGGCGCCGGCGCGGCGCCCTTCTCGGTGGATGCCGGCGTCGTGCGCCTGGCCGCGCCGCTCGACTTCGAGATGACCCGCTCCTATCGGTACGTCGTGTCGGCGCGCGACGGCTGGGGGAGCGCCGCCGCCACGGCCGCAGTTACCGTGACCGTCGCCGACTGCAACGACAACACGCCGGCATTCGAACGTGCTGAGTACCGCGCCGAGCTGAGCGAGGCCGCGCCGGCGGGGACGTTCGTGGCAGAGGTGCACGCACGCGACGCCGACGGCGATGGTGACGGCACCCCGCGCTACTCGCTGGCCGACCCCGCGCTGCCGTTCGCCGTCGACGCGGACACCGGCGTCGTCGTCACGGCGGGGCGGCTCGACTACGAGGCGCGGCCTCGCTACCGCTTCGCGGTGATCGCTGCGGATGGGCTGCCCGGTGCAGCGGCGCGGCTGAGCGGCACGGCGCTGGTGCGCGTCGAGTTGCTCGACGAGAATGAGTTCCCGCCGAGGTTTTCCACCGCCGGCTTCGTGCACCGCGTCTCCGAGACGGCCGCACCGGGCACTCACGTCGGCGCCGTCTCAGCCACCGACCGTGACGCCGGGCGCGCCGGGCGGGTGGAGTTCCACCTCGTGGGCGCCGAGTCGGCGGCGCGGAGGCACGGCCTGGGGTTGGACTCGCTCTCGGGCGAGGTGGTCGTGGTGGGGAGGCTCGCGTCCGGCTCGGCACCCTCTTCCGCCGTCCCAGACTCCCCACTGGACACCGTGGCTCGCGTGACTCTGACCGTGGTCGCCAAAAACCCCGGCGCCGTGACGAGCGCCGAGCGGCTGGACGAGGCGACGGTGACGGTGATCATTACGGATGCCAACGAGGCGCCCCGCTTCTCGCGCGATGTCTACCGGGCGCGAGTGCGCGAGGACGCCCCCCCGGGGACGCCCGTGATCGCCGTGATGGCTCACGATCCCGACCGCGTCCCGCAATTCGCTCGCTTCTCCTTCCGGCTCGGCGACGATCCGGCGCCGGCGGCGGTGCCGGCGTCGCGCCCGGCGTTCGCCATCGACGCGGCCTCGGGCCTCGTGACGTCGGCGTCGCCGCTCGACCGGGAGACGCGGGACGCCTACGCGCTGCTCGTCCTCGCCGTGGACGAGGGGAGCCCCGCGGCCACGGGCACGGCGCTCCTGCGGGTCGACGTCGACGACGCCAACGACAACGCGCCCGCGCTGACGTCCGTCCGGTGGCGCGTCGACGAGGGCCGTCCGCCCGGCACGCCCGTGGCCCGGCTGAGCGGCCGCGACGCCGACGCCGAGGAGAACGGGCCGCCTTTTTCCTACCGCCTGGCGCGGCCGTCGCGGTTCTTCACCCTGAGCGGCGACGGGGTGTTGCGCACGACCGCCAAGCTGGACCGCGAGGAGACGGGGGAGGTGGCGCTCGCGGTGGCGGTGTCCGACTCGGGGACGCCCCGGCTCACGTCGGTGGTGGAGATCACGGTGGAGGTGGGCGACGTGAACGACAACGCGCCTTCACCGCGCCGCCTCGACATCCTCGTCAGCTTCTTTGGTACGACCTTCCCCGGTGGTTTCCTCGGAGACGTGCGGCCGATCGACCTTGACTCGGATGACGAATTCACGTGCCGGATCGTGGGGACCGCAGAGGGCACCGATCCATCGTCGGCGCCGCCGCCGTGGCCATCCACGTCCTTGGTTCAGTCGCCGCCGTCGTCCGCATCGTCGCAATCGCGGTCACCATCTCATTTGTCGCCGTCGTCATCCGGAGCTTTCAGCATCACGCCAGGTACGTGCGACCTGCTGTCTGAGCCGCTCGACTGCCACGGCACGCCGGCGATGGTCGTGCTGTGGGTGGAGGCGAGCGACGGCCTCCACGCGCCCGTGCTGAACGCCGCGCGCCTGCGCTTTGCGCCCTACGACGGCGCCTCCCTCGCTGGCGCCGCGCTCCTCTCGCTCGGCTGCACGGAGCTCGGCCGCTTTCTCGACACCGGCCTCGCACCGCTCCTTGCCTCCGCCTCGGCGCTGCTGAGTTCCGTCGGAGCGGACCTGCGCATGCTCCACGCGTTTCGCCACGGGAACGCCTCCTACGCCTGGGCGGCGCTCGCCAGAACCGACGGCGGCGACGGCAGCGACGGACGCGGCTTTTGCGCCCGCGACGCTCGGAGGTTCCTGCAGGCCTTGTCGGCCCGGGACCCAAAGCCGGACCCAAACGCCAGGCTCGGGGGCTCGTTCGAGGTGGTGGCCGACGCGTGCCGCCTGTCGGACTGCGTGGCGCCGGCGCGCTGCACGAGCCGGGGTCCGGCCGTGGGCCCCGGCCTCCTCGCCGTCGCCGAGAGCGAGACGTTCGTCCTAGTGTCGGACGGCGCCGCCGGCCCTCCGTGGACGTGCGAGTGCCCGCCGGGGGCCGCCGCGGCTCCCGAGTGCGACGGGGAGACGCGGGGGGCGGGCGCGGGCGCCGCGACACTGACAACGGGGGCGCCCGTGGAGAATGGGGCGGCTGCGGAGGGGGCGGCCGCAGACGGAGCGGCCGTAGGGGAGACGGTTGTGGAGGAGGAGGGGAGCGGAGCGACCTGCGAGGAGCAGGGGTTCGGCTTCCAGGGCTCCTCATTCATGGAATTCCCGGCGCGGATTCTGGACCCGGAGAGGAATGAGATTCGGCTGGAGGTGGCAACGACGCGGACAAGTGCACAGCTGCTCCTGCTCGCCCGCGACGACGGTGTGCGCCATGGAGAGAGTTGTCGCCATTATCATCACGAGCATCAACATCGTTGTCATCATCATCATCACGAGCATCAACATCGCCCACCATCATCATCATTACGAGCATTATAGTCATCACCATCATCATCACGAGCATCAACGTCGTCGTCATCATCATCATCACGAGCATCAACGTCATCACCATCATCACGAGCATCAACATTGTCATCACCATCATCATCACGAGCATCAACATCGTCACCATCATCATCACGAGCATCAACACCGTCATCATCATCATCATCACGAGCATCAACATCGTCGCCATCATCATCACGAGCATCAACGTCATTGCCATTATCATCTTCATCATCATCATCATCACAAGCATCAATGTCGTCTCCATCATCGTCATCACGAGATCGATGTTGTCGCCATTGTCATCACGAACATCAACAACGTTGTGTCACCACTGTAATTTTCACAACCGTCCGCATTCCATTGTCATCACATCACTACAAACATCATCGCCGTCCCCTTCATCGTCATTGCAAAGCCGAGTGTAATAGTTGTCAGACGGGACTCCCAATGTGGCAGCTGAAGCAACGGGGACAGTTATTTGAATGCCCCCATCTCTGGCCACCCAGCAGCATAAGCGGTCGCAGCCCCAGTCGATGTGCAGGCAGTTTGTGAGTGGTGGGGTAAAGTGTGGGTAACTCTCCCACCTCTTCCAAGACGTCTGGTAAGGACGCCACGATGGCTGGGAGATGTCAACTACCTGGCCTGGTATACAGGAGGTCGTGGGTTCGATCCCAACCATGACGCCTGCTGTTTGCATGGAGTTTGAGTGTCTCTCTCCCCCGTGGTCGTGTGGATTTTCTCCGGGTTCTCCGGTTTTTCCCTCCACATTTAGAATCAACATCATGCGCTTGGAATATTTGGCTGTGATACATTTTCGCATGATAAACCACTTTCTTGAGCCATCATTTGCGGCCAGGTCGCTTCTGAAAAATAGCTACGTAGCTCAGTGGGTCTCACCTGGTAAAATGAAAAATAGTTTAGTTTAACGCCCCTTTGTGTGCGTCGACAGGAGGACGTTGGTGTCTGTCCATGTGGCTCATGGGAGGTCGCGCTTCCGTCTCGCTTGACCTCGGTGGAGAGGTCATCACCGTGGAGGCAGGGCAAGGCCTAAGCGACGGAAACTACCACACCATTGCTGCCCTGCGTCGTGGAAAGGTCTTATGCCACTGTTGTTTTGTTTGGTTGATGGCACCAGCGGTCACTCATGGCAGAAACCGGGCGAACGAGCCACTTGCGTAGCGGAGGTTTGTGATTGGGGCCCCCCCAGCTGCCGCCTTCATTTAACCCCTTTCCCGTTCCGAGACATAATGCACATTGCGGGGTATCGGTGTGGGGGTGTGTCTCGTTCACCCGCTGAATCTCGCCAACGCGCGAGGGCCTCCTCGATAATTTTGTTTATAGAGAGGGCGTAGCACCGCTGTTTTTAATGAAGACATTGTATTGTTATCACCGCAGAGAACCGTAGCGACACGACCGCACCCTACGATGGCTGGCGCCAAACTTTGCTGCATGCCCTCCGGCGTAGATTAATAACTTGTGACGTATGCACGTACATCATCGGAACGGGAAAGGGTTAGTAGTGGTTGTGTTAACCATAAATTACGCATTGGATGTTGAAGATCGCATAAGGTTATTTGATAAAAAGTTGGACTTACGTGCTGGCGGCAACGGTCCGAATTTCATGCTCCCACGTCTATTCTCCTAACCTTCAACCAACCAGCAATTACCGGCGCACTGAAATGTAATCATATAACCTCCATGACCTGCACTGCATGAGGCTGCCCTCCAGCTAAGCTGGCTTTCCCGTTCCGATGATGTACGTGTACACATCATCGGTTTTTATTCCGATTCCGTGAGCGTCATTGGAACGGAACCGGAAGAAAAACTTCTATAAAATTACTTTATCGGTACTGAGGCTTCCACAAGGCCGCACGGGAGGGCGTGTGGCACAGTTGGGCGCCAGCTATTGTGGAGTGCGGTCGTGTCGCTACGGTTCTCTGCTGTGAGCACGATGTCTTTAAAAACAAAGGCGCTATGACGCCTCTCTAAATTAAATTAAAGCTGAGCCGCTTGCGCGTTCCGAGAATCAGCGGTGAACCGGGACACCCACCCTGCAATGCAACTTGCAGTGCATCTCGGAATGGGAAAAAGGTTCATGTGCATTTGGCAAAACATCCCAAAGACATTCCATGAGGCTGTCCTGGGCAAACCGAAGCCGCTGTGGATATTTATTCTTGAGTCTTGTTCCAATGCCTGGTCTCTGGTTCCCCGTTCACAGACCCTGAGTGTGCACGTAGATGACTGTGAACATTCAGGCGAGGTGCAGGATGTGGACCACTGCCAGGCCGCAGGGACCATCGCGGGCAACTCCAGGCAAGACAAATTAACAGCACGTACAGACGTCACTTACTGACATATGCAGCCATTTATTTCTCACTCAGATATGTTATGGAAAGCTGCTAGACTCGCTTGGAGTAGGGATTATCAGCATAAGGCACTACCACTAGAGTAATAGGTATTGCCTTTCTTTAATAATCCTATATTATTGTACCTTATATACCTGTATTCCCCTGAACAGGTTTATAGCAACATGTATGAAAATATTTTTAACTTCTTTCGCACCGTTCGTAGCCAACCGTGCTAATCGGCGGTGCAGTGTTGAGTCTATGGGTAGTGTAAGTCTATGGACAGTATGTATGTACGTTGAACTTCTTTCGCACTGTACATAACCAAACGTGCTAATTGGAGGTGTGGCGTATACAGTAGGGTACAGTGAGGTGAATGTGGCATGCCAAAATAATTATCGGAAAAGTGTTGTGGACCGTTCCGGCTGAAATTAAGCACAGGGTATGCAAGCAAAAATTGTTTATTCAAATAATGTTTTTGGTTTTGTTCCCAGCATCATCTGGCCGCTTAGCAATGGCTCAGTGAGCGTTGGGGGGGTGGACTCCACGGCGACGCTGCCCGGGGCCCTCGGCAAGCGCCAGGGGCGTCCGCGGGGCCTGGACGGGTGCCTGCGCGGAGTCAGCGTGGACGCGCTGCCTCTTGCACCGTGGGGGGCTCGCAGAACCACGGCCGTCGCTGACACGTGCGTCCGAATGGCACGACCGCCCGCCGCGATAGTAACCATGAATTGGCCTGTGAGATTTCATAGATTTGTAAATGTATGTATGTATGGTGAACTTCTTACGCGTCCTACGTAGCCAATTGTGCTGCCAATCGGAGGTGCGTCCCGATTTGGCCGGAACAGCCGTGGGGTGGTTTCAGGGAGGCTGTCCCGGTGTTCCGTAGAAATTGGTAAAAATCGGGATTTTGTTTCGCTTTAGAAGGGCGGCACTACCTGAGTAGTGGGCGGGGACAAACGTCAGGAAAATCGAGGAAGCAGCTCTCTGACTGTGTGGGCAAGGCTAGTGACTGCGTGGGTGCGCCTAGGTATAAGTCACACTACTGGAATGTTCCATTCGTGCATCATCAGATATCCACATCTACTGCCATGGTCTGTGCGAGTGGATGCGGTTTAGGGGTGGGAACCATGAGCAGCTTCGTGGAAGATCAAATCCCCAGGTATCTTTTGCTTTAGGTCCTTCGCAACAACGTAGTGTTTGTCTGCGAGTTCTCTTGAACTCAATTCAGCTCTCTGAGCTTCGTGCTTATTGGTTGATAATCTTAATCACAAAATAACAACAACTTGTTCCCCGCACGCCAGGTGTCCGCTTGCGGGCCGTGACCTCCTCCCTGCGGAGAGCGGTCCCGGAGATGGCGGCCCGGCGCCGTGGCTGCTGGCGACCGTCACCGCCGTGCCGCTGCTCTCTGCTCTCCTGGCGGCTGCAGCGGTGGGTGCGGCGCTGGCGCTGCTTGCCCGGCGCCGCCGCCATCCCAAGGCTCCGGGCTCCGCAGCGGTGGCGTCGGCGGCCGGCCCGGCAGAGTCGGCGGCGGAACGCCTGGCGTGCGAAAAGCCGGCGCCGAAGGGCGGCAGCGTGAACGAGGCGTTCGTGCATGACGGCGGGACGGTGCGCCTGAGCCGGCCCGACATCATCGTGGAGCAGACCGAGAGCCGGCCTTACGCCATCGTCGACGAGCGGGCCCTACGCCCTGCCGCTCCCCGGCAGCTTCAGCACGGGAGAATGTTCGCCGTGGGGCGGCAGCTGGATGAGGAGGACGATGAGGATGAGGAGGATGGGACGGTGAGAAGGGGCGGCCACCACGTCCGGCCCGAGCACTACGACCTGGAGAACGCGAGCAGCATCGCCGCGTCCGACGCGGACGTGGAGATGCACTACCGGACGCTGCGTGCGCGTGGGGCAGACACCACGATGGGCCGTCGTCCACAACATCGTCATCCACCTCTGCATCATCATCATCATCAGCAGCAGCAGCAGCTGGATAAAGAAGAGCTTTATCACAGGCACTGTCTTTATTGCTCTCAGGATTGCCTCAGTCAGAAACCCGACACCTGTCACTCTATCTGTCAGTGTCACCATCGCCCTCTTCATCCTCCTCTTCCCCATCTCGAGAAGCAGTGCACTGACGACAGTCTGCATCGTCGACGGACGAACCACAACCTCGTCGGCCAGGAACCACCCCTTGCCAAGCGACCAGGTGCCACTTCGTCCCAGAGCCACGCTGGTGACACCTCTTCCTCCTCCTCTCTCTGCCGCTGCAACCGTGACTCGTGGCCACGGTCGCCCATAAACGGCGCGTCACTCCTTTCGGACCGCTTGGACGTCCTCGCCGGTTTGGCCAGCGCGGGGGATCTGTCGCGACACAGGGCGGCCGGCCGCCAGCTGGCGACACCCTGCGGCGGGGTCGCCGGCGCGAGACGCTCGGAGGAGTTTCCCTTGCGGGCCACGGCGGCGACGACGACGGCGACATTTGGCCAGCGGCGCCCCTCCCCGGATGCCGTGGCCTCGTTCGCGCCGCCCTCGCGACTCTCCCGCGAGGAGGTGGCGCGGCTCGGCGTGCGACCCCCACCGCCACCGAGCCCGCCCGGAGAGGGGGGAGACGGCGAGGGCGGCGAGAGCCCCGGCCGCGCGCGGGAGCGGCGGCGCGTGGAAGCGGAGGAATCGGGCTCGGAGGCGCGCACCGACAGCCCGTCCCCCGATGGATCCTTCACCGGATCCGAGATGGAGTTCGAGTTCAGGCACCGCCCGAGCGAAAGTTGAGCTCGGCTAGGCGCGTCGATCCATGGATGGACGGCGCCGAAGTTCCGGGACGTGATCCCGAGGGGGCCCCCCCTGGGCGCCCCGGCCATCTCGCGAACGTGTCGCCGAGTAATTGGAAATGGAGTCAGCGGTGGCGGCCGGTGGCTCAACGATTTTTTGGTGCCGGCGCCGGGGCCGGGTGAGAGGATGACACTTTGCCCTGCGTGCTATAAAGTCATGGGCTGCGGCTCTATTGATGAACTTGAATATGACGATATAATTTATTTACGATATCCTGACATCCTTAATTTTAGGAGCAAGGCCTTGTGTGCTTTGTTTAGTAGTGAAATGCTTCTGTGGGGAAAAAAAACTGGAAAAAGATTCGGCCTGAATGCGATCATTTTTTAATCGCACATCTTCAGTAAAACCATCGCAATTTTTTATAACGAGCAGAAATTTTAAAAAAAATGTTGTATTAATCTAGAAGATGACGTTATGGGTGTTTGCCTACCTCTGCTAACATGAGATCACAGGTACCTTCCTGCAAAGGATGAATCACGTTTGTTGGACTCTGAAGCTTTTCTTTTTTGTTTGTTAAAATTTGTATCGAAAAGAAATTGTCTATCAACGTTGTCGCGTTGGTTACTTGACTATACTTCACCGTGCTGGTCTGTACCTGTTGGTGAAGGGGAGTGGGGGGGTGGGGGGACATCAAAGACCTGGACCACAAATGATAGCTCAAAGAAGTGGCTTGTTATCGCGTGGAAATTTATAGCAGCCAAATACTCTAAATGGATGATGTTGATCCTAAATATGGAGGGAAAAACCAGAGGACCCAGAGAAAACTCCACACACTTCAAATACACAACAGGCATCAGGTGTTGGGATTGAACCCACGACCTCCTGTATCACACGCTACTGATGCTAGCCGAGGCTGGGAATTAAACTCAGGTTGCCAGGTTCGTAGTGCAGTGCGCTAACAACCACTGCATCAATGCCCACGCCCCAAATCAAGTGAACCGGGCACGGGATTGATTTCCGTTGGACTTCTGAGCCGCTGTTTCATAATCGTTTAAAATGACGTTTAAATGTGCAGTGTTTGCAAGTATTGCTGTCTCTGCAACAACTGTGAAACGCGATGTTTACAATACAAGTTACTCTGCTGCATGCAAGTCATGGGTGCCTGTGTCGTGTGTATTTACGCGCGCTTGAATGCGAGCATAGCAGGCCGCATGTACCATCGAGTAAGGGGCCGTCCATAAATGACGTCACGCACCTAGGGGGGGGGGGAGGTCAGACATTTGTGACGATGTGTGACGAGGGGGGGGGGGGGTTGAGAAATGTGACGTTACATCAAAATGCGCAACTTATATAGACAACACTTAATTAAATATACTTTTTTAAATAAATGTTTTCTCCTACAACATCAGAGTGCAGCGCTACATTAAATACGCACTACAATGACAATAGCTTAACGCGATTTTAAGCATTTTTATTTGGTGGGGGGGGGGGGGGCAGAGCTTTGTGACGTCATATTTGAGGGGGGGTCTGACTTTTTGTGACCCCGTGTGACGAAGGGGGGGGGGGGGGTCAAAAATCGTCCAAAATCGCGTGACGTCATTTATGGACGGCCCATTTACATTTTACGCGATCGAACCCAAAAAACGTTATCATGAATAATATTGGTCGCGAAAGACCACGTCTACTACTACTACGGCCACCACTACGTGTTGAAGAGTAAAGATCACAGCCGGAGACACGAGATGAAGAGCGATGAGGTGAGAGAGAGAGATAAACGAGAGATAGCGAGACGAAGAAGCTGCTCGTTAGCGGGCACGCGAACGGCCGTGTCGATGCTACCTTGGCCCACCAGAATCCCGGTCCACAGCTTCCACCGTTGCCCCTTCACCGTAAAGAGAGGAGGGCCCTTGCCTAAGATCGGCAAGTACTCCGAGCATTGATTCAAACACAAGCAAGGCTGACTGTCGAGATGAAGTGTGTCGAAACCGGGCCTTGAACAATAAAAGCTACAAGGCGTTTCGTTTTTGCCATGAAAACGAAACACAACGTGCACGTGGCCCGGTATCTTCTCACACACGTGCGATGTCTCACGTGTTCACTTCAAGCGCGCGCACAGCCCAATTGTCACCCCGCCACTCGATGAGGGCCCTCTCCCCCGTGCCACGTGTGGATCGTTGGGGTTTTGTGACCGTACTTCGCTATGCTGGTCAGTACGGGTTTGAAGGTGGGGGAGCAGATACGTTGGTGCTCTCTTACCTACATAGCCTCTTGTTACAGCAGCCCTTTTGCCCACTTCAGCCGCTGTTTCTTGCTGTGATGACGGACGCTTGTGTTGCGGCCGAAACGTCGTGATTTAATTTATTTTATACCTACGTGACTTTACCGAAAGAACCAAAGAGAATGGATCCCTGCAGTCACGAAAACTTCAAATCGAGATTAAAATAATGGACTTTGCTGCACTGCCGTCTGCTGTTCGCTGCCTAGCACGGCAGTAGCCTATGGCACCTGTTATGCATGGTGGTCGCCACCCATCCAAGCACCATCTACGCTCAGCTCTGACCAACCACGGCTGCACTGCAACCACCGCCTAATGTATTTCCAATTTGGCTTCTGTGATTTGACAAAACATTTTGCGAGACACACTTTGTACAAATGACAAAATAAATCGAAATGTAACAAGCACATGTTTATTTCCATACATATATATAATCTTATACGCAATGAAGCTTCATGTACAATATAGAGTTATTTTGGTCCGACTAAATAAATCACGGTTGTGCTGTCATCGTGGGGGAATAAGGCCTTGTAAAATCATTGGCTGCTGCTACATCATCTGACAATTCACCCCCCCCCCCCCCGCTGTCCTGCCCAGTAATTTTATGTGTCACGATCCGTAGAGTCACATTCCAATTAATCCATTCTGTTTTAATCTCATTTGTATCATTGGATTCCTCTACGGCGCACCTCCGATTAGCACGGTTGGCTTTGTACGGTGCAAATGAACCGATGGGCTTGCGACTTCACTTCATAACACATCCCAAGGCCCACACGAACCCTTGCCGCCCCAACATTTTTCTTGCGGACAATATTAATTCCAAGTTTCATTTCGTGTAACCCAGGCGAGGACGAAAAGAGAAGGGGACAGTCTCCCTGGGAAAAGTATCTTTAGCCCCACACTAATCGGGCATGAGAGGGGAGGGAATGGTGCCGGATTATCCGAGGACCAAAAATAGCTACAAAAGTAGCTACATAAGTAGTAGCTACGGGCCCCGCACTTTTAAGGGCCCCGCGCTAAATGCTTTCAAGCTATCAATTTCGGTTCAGTGATTCTGAACTTGCTCTATTACTATAGTACTATACCGCCTTCAACTTTTATGAACGACTGGGTGTTTTAGGTTCGCGATTTGTCGTATTATCTGGCTGTACAGGAAATGAAAAATACAATTAGTTTACTATACAAGTTAAAAATGAGTGTTTTAATAATTATGTTTGAAATGATATTTAGGGCCCTTTTATAACAAATGCAAGAGGTCCCGCACTCGCTTCATCCGGCACCAGGAGGGAACGTTTTCGAGGTGAAAATATCGTCTCCGATTTGGCATGCTCGGTCGCCTCCGTCACGGTCCAACTCTGCCAGATTCGAAATTGACTCCGCGTTGACTAAATTGCGACTACAAGCAAAGACAAATTTCCCCCGTGGAGCCTGTAAACGGGCTGTTGGGGGGTAATTGCTGTTCGCGAGGAGCATCTTTGCAGGCCGGCACTGTGGCACACGAGGGTATGGGTTTCCAGCACCACGCCCGACCGCCTTTGTCTCCCCAGTGGCGATGACTTTACACACCGCACCAGGTACTCAATAAGGAAAAATCATTTCACGATTCCTGCTTTAGCCTAAACATATACAATGTTCGCATACAAGATATTTAAATAAGAATAATTCATTGATATTTAAATGCACGATTCGAATCGTGTCATAAATCTATTTCAATCCGTGAATCATCGCACGTGCGGTGAAGAAATGAAATGCAAACTGGACAATCGTTACGAACATCACTACGTGGATCAACTTCAAATGAAACACCCCATAAGTAAATCGTACAAAGCATTAATATAACAACATGGCTACTGCATGACCTGCGCGATAAAAAAGTCAAGTGCAGGGACTCCTCCACTTACGAACTATTTAGGTTCCAGATGTCTGTTCGTAAGTCGATTTGTTCGTAAGTCCAACTTTACTCCTGTCGATTTCAAACGTGTTGTACGGCATGTGCACTAAACATGGGGAATGGCTTTAAAAGTTCTATTATCTCCTGCATATGTAGATGCCACTGGTTCTTCACGTTCTGCCAATGTAGATGCCACTGGTTCTTCACGTTCTGCAGATATAGGTGCCACTGGTTCTTCACGTTCTGCCAATGTAGATGCCACTGGTTCTTCACGTTCTGCAGATATAGGTGCCACTGGTTCTTCACGTTCTGCAGATGTAGATGCCACTGGTTCTTCATGTTCTGTAGATGTAGATGCCACTGGTTCTTCACGGTCTGTGGATGTAGATGCCACTAGTTCTTCACGTTCTGCAGATGTAGATGCCACTGGTTCTTCACGTTCTGTAGACGTAGATGCCACCGCTGCCATCTACGACTCTCGGTCCGGACAGACAATTGTACATACGGGCAAGTTTGTTCGTATCTCTGAGAGTACTTAAGTCGAATGTTCGTAAGTAGAGGAGTCCCTGTCATTATTTACTCATCCATCCCGGAAAGACACAATGACTCATTGTACACATTTTCAGGAGGGTCCTACATTATTTTTTTACATTTTCAGTCAATGAACGATGAGTCATGTGTATTTCTGTGTGGGAGAAAAAACCGGAGTGCCCGGAGAAAACCCACGCACGCGAGGGGGCAACACTCTATCCCCCCGTAAAGATGGGGACAGATGCTGATAGGTCAACTTGCCACCACACGACACAGTCAATTAGTAAGGTTTGTCACGTGAACAAAGATGCCAATTAGTTACTTGTTGTGGGTTTACTCTCCAACACACAGCCGGTGTGTGCTGTACTAGTAGCGAATTGGCACGTTTTGTTTACATGACAAACCTTCCTAATTGGCTGTGTCGGGTGGTGGCTGGTTTATCGACACTGACATTTACGCGATCCAATCTAAAAAAACAGTTATATTATGGACAACTTTCTGCACTGCCTTCTGCTGGCGAGCCAGGGGTATGATACCTCGGGAAAGGAGTTTCACGACGGTTGTGCGATCGATCGACCAACCCTCGCCTCCACTGTTGGCACCTCTCGATTATCACGGTTGGGCCACGTACGGTGCCAAAGAAGTTCAACATTCGTTGATGCTTGAAAGATTTTCAAGAAGGTATCCGGCGCCGATTTTCCATCTGCAGCCTCTCTCCGGCACACAGTGGAATTTTCGCGTCGAATCTCAAGTTCAACGTGCGTACACCAAGGCCGTAGCCACGGAGTCAACATTGGGGGGGGACCAAATCTTCCAGGGTGTCTGGGGGTCCCAACCCAGAAAAAAAATCTAAATTTGAAAACTAATTTCCTACCTAAAATATTAAAAAATTCACTAACACATAGGATGGACTTTTTATTTATTTATTACAATAATGCCTAATAGTGCTCTGTTTTTACATTTCTTGTTTCATTGTATGTAATGGCAGAGATTAGGGATTAATAAAATACAACCATAACCACAATCATAGAAACATAAATCTATGCATTGTTATATGAAGACAAGTCCAGATATTGTGGTCAAGGTTTAGCAAATTGTTGTTTTTATTTACATAGCATAGCAATTTTTTTATAGCAATATATTGGGGGGGGGGGGGGACATTTTGAGCATATTTGAATATTGGGGGGGATGTGTCCTCCCCAATATATATTATAATTACGGCCTTGGCGTACACACACCATGCTAGAGTGGCAGGCACGGTGGCGGCTGAACTTGAATGTGGACGACGCGTTTAGTCGAGTCGGCTTTCCGGGGAGGATGGAGGTGATGGGAGAGGGACGGAGGGGAGGGGGGGGAAATTAAACATCGCGTGGTATCGTTTCAAACTGCCGCGCCGGGAGATAGGATCGAACCGGCGACCTCCCCGTTGCAAGTCCGTTGACGCTCCCCATGACGTCACTGTGGCAGCGCCCCCTGGGCAATTTTTTTTTATATAAAAACAATGATAATTATAATAATCTCTATTGACAAGAAAGAACACTTATATAATACAGTACAGCACTGAGTTGAGCACAAATATCGTATGCGATTACAATACTGGCAAAATAGACAGTTTTTAAGAATATAGAATAGATGGGAGGAGCAGTGGTGCAGTGTTCTATGAACCCAGCGAACTGTTTGCTTCCAGGCCGTGTCTCCCATTAGAGATGAGTGGAATCTGAACCAGTTATGGGCCCACCCACTCACCCCGCCACCACTTCACCAACCTGCGCTGACCTGCATCGTGAAGCATCGTCCAACAAATCCCCATGAACTCGAAGAGGGGGGAGTCTCACACAGACCATCGTCGTCGTCACTGTCATCATCACCATCACGACTCTCAAGACAAAACAGTCTCACAACTCTCGTCTCGACGCGATCCACGAACCCACCCTCAGTCATTGGCCTCTACAAAACGCACGAGGATAGCAAAGGGGACACTCTAATAGCCCCTTTCCACTTGCACGTGTGAGCCGTGCCAGCAGGGGGTCAGCACGGTATGGGTGGTTTTCCACTGCGCATTACCGACCCACGCTACACCGGCCTCACAGGACCACGTGTGAGTCTGGCTCAGGCCCAAGCCGCGCTAGGGGTGGGGCTAGTGACATGTGCAGGCACGACGCCTGTCAGTGTACAACTCCGCGTTGGCTACATGCGTCTCGACGTCGCGAATTGGGGGTGACGTAAGCGGCACGGCTCGGCTTGCGCGGTGGAATAGCAGCCCACGCTCCCTGACCCGGCGCCAGCACGGCTCGGATACGCAAGTGGAAAAAGAGATAGAAATACTGCAAAGACGATGGGCTAGGGTGCCGAGTGGACTTGCTCGATGTATTCTCTGTGCAGGGGTGAACGCGTCTAGGCTTCGCTGGGGGGTACTCGGGACAAAAACCAGACGCCCATGGGTTCCTTGCGCCCCTTCATGGGCACGGGGCCCCGGTGCTGGAGCAGGAAGTCGGGGTCGCTGTTTTCTGGGGTCATGAGGCAGCTGCGGAAGGCAACAGCGGCGGCAGCGATGAGCGACGTAAGCGAATGTGAGCTTCATGTGAGTGCCATTGTGATGATTGCAGCAGTGAATGCGCGATCACGATGTGTGTAATTCTAATGTCAGCGGGTGAGTATTTGAAACTGCTTTTTGTGTGTTTAGTTTGTCGTCCTTCCCCGCACCACCGATTGCCATGGTTGGTTACGTACAGTGCGAAATAAGTTTTAACATACATACGTGCATGATGCCAGTCGGTGAGTGTGATAACAGTGGTGAGTGTGATGTCTGTGGTGAGTGTGCTGTCTGTGGTGTGATGTGCATGCGATGCCGATGTCGGTGGGTGAGCATGATGGTGCAGTTGAGAGTGATGACGATGTGGTGGTGGCGAGTGTGACGTCGGTGATGAGCGTCATGGTGGAGGTGACGAGTGCGACGTGGGGGGGGGATGAGAATGTCTACATGCACGCGTAATCGTGGCGGCAGCTATGACCGCCGAGTCAATGGCAAAAGCGACGCTGCTCGTGGACACGACGTCGGCCGTGGCGGCAGATGCCGACCGTGAGTTCGGTTGTCGGTGGCGAGAGTCGCAAAAGCGGCGACTGTCTCGTGCGCGTCACGGGCGCGACACGAGCAGCGACAACGGCGACAGCGCTGCCAAGTCCAAATGGCGCCATGCCGAGAGCGTTCAGCACGTACGTTGAACTTCTCGTGCACCGTACGTAGCCAACCATGCTTATCGGAGACATTGCGGCTATCGCGATTTTCACCTGAAGACGATGGCTTGTGTTGCTATCGAAACGTCGTGATTTATTTAGTTTTATTTCTACCTACGTGACTTTACCGAAAGAACCAAAGAGTATGGATCCCTGCAGTCACGAAAGCTTCAAATCAAGGTTAAAGACTGATTGATGATGGAAGGATGTTCAGGAGGGGATGACGGTGATTTCTCAAGGGTGATGTATTTGCTGCTGCTGTGGTCGAGGAGGAGGAAGTGTTGGTGGTGGTAGTGGTGGTGGTGCTGTTGCTGGTGTCGGCGGTGAGCGATGGTGAGTGGTGCTGGTGGTGGTAAGTCCGCTACCGGTAAGTGTCCTCGGACACGTTGATTTTCCCCGGCCGTCCCGTCGTCTCGGTCCTGCTCGTCAGGTTCACCGTGTTGCCGAAGAGGCAGTACCGGGGCATCCTCTGTCCGATCACCCCGGCCACCACCTCGCCGGAGTGAACGCCAATCGTTATCTGTCACGCGAGCCCCACCACACACGTCACCGCCACCGCAGAAGCATTCGTACACTCGTTGAACCCCAGCGCGGGCTGGCGACATTGCCGGACGCCCTGGTTACTACTGCAGGTACTCTATGTTAACGCGGTGGACATTGAGAAAACTGGTGACGTTATTCGAACAAAGGGTAGGCCGTTAAACTAAACTATAAAACTAAACTAACAAACCATTTTTATTTTACCAGGTGAGGCCCACTGAGTAGCTCGTTTTCGGAAGTGGCCAGGCTTTCATAAATGATAGCTCAACAAAGTGGCTCATCATCACGTGGAAATGTATATCAATCAAATACTTTAAAACGCGTGATGTTGATTATAAATGTGTAGGGAGAAAACCGGATGATCTGGATAAAAATCCACGCGAGCACGGGGAGAGAGACATGTAAACCTCAAATATACAGGCGTCAGGGGTCGGGATCGAACCCTTGGCTTCCTGCATGCCAGTTAAGGGAGTTAAGATCTCACCACCGTGAGCTCTCTCCTCTCCCATGCCTTATATCCTCTTTCAGGACCCCTCCTAGCAGCTTCTCTCAACAGTTAACAACTTAAACCAAACTCCCGCCCATCAAACGCTCGTTCGCTAGACCAACAGACCCATCGATCATCAGTCGCTGTTTCGCCTGACCAGTCAGGATCTTCCCGAGAAAAACACTCAGCCAAAGGGCAATGACTGACATTTCTACAGTACCGTCTTTAACGTCTTGTTACACAAGCGCTGTCTAGGCACCAACCTGCTTAGCTTGTGAGGCCCGACGGGATCCACATTGGCCTCACCCAGTAAATGAGAAGAATCGGGATCTTCACTCAGCCTGAATAAATCCGATGAGCTACGGCGCTATTTTCTCACAGATGCCCAGTTGGGGCACGGGGTCAGAAAGTGACAACGAACAAACAGAACACAAACACGACAGGAGTGCAAAGTATAGGAAAGATAAGCAGATCACTAAAAATTAGGAACTAAAATAGATTTAAGTTTTTCAGTTCAAATCGCATAAATACACCGATTCCTAAGCTTGCACAAGGCAGCACAACAACGTCAAGAACAGTCCCAGACCACACGAAGACAACACAGCAGTAGTCCCTCAATACAATTGCACATTGACATTGGACAATCGGTACTTACACGGGTAAGGATGAGAGTTACAATTCACATTGACAAACGCGGTTGTGTCCGGCACTAATCCACTGCTTCAGGATACTTTTCGAAGGAAGATGTTACGATGTTCAGGGAGAAAGGAAACAGCGGTTGTTTCAAGACGTTGGCTCTGAAATGGCAAAGGCTTAGTCACCTCCTCCTACTAAATAGGGAACACCCCTCTCTCCATTTCTCTTTCTCTCTCGCTTTCTCTCTCCATTTCTCTTTCTCTCTCTGTTTCTCCCCGGCACCACCCAGACCCCCGCGCGGCTCACCTGCACGGCCTTCCCGTCCACCGTCACGCGGCCCGCGCTGTCGATCATGTCGAGCGCCAGGCGGCACACGGAGCGAGCGTGGTGCGGGCACGGCTCCGGCAGTCCGCTCACCGTCATGTACTTGTCTCCCACCGTCTCCACCTGCCACGCAGAATCCACCACCACAGTCGTCGTCAATGGCAGCAACAGCAGGATCTGGCTTTAGGAGACATAGGGGAAGCTTTGAGATTTCTCTTCGGTGGCCAAAGCACTTTTAAATCTGGATGGAAATCTCATTTCTTTGGGGCTGAGCTTTGTGTTTAGTTTGTTGTCCTTGCCCGCGCCTCCGATTAGCACGGTTGGCTACGTACGGTGCGAATCAAGTTCAAAATCCACACTGTCCATAGACTAACAATACCCATAGACTCAACACTACCCATAGACTAACACTGCCCATAGACTAACACTACCCATAGACTAACACTACCCATAGACTAACACTGCCCATAGACTAACACTGCCCATAGACTAACACTACCCATAGACTCAACACTGTCCATAGACTCAACACTACCTATAGACTAACACTACCCATAGACTAACACTACCCATAGACTAATACTGCCCATAGACTAACACTGCCCATAGACTAACACTACCCATAGACTCAACACTGCCCATAGACTAACACTGCCCATAGACTAACACTACCCATAGACTAATACTGCCCATAGACTAACACTTTCCATAGACTAACAATACCCATAGACTCAACACTGCCCATAGACTAACACTACCCATAGACTAACACTACCCATAGACTAACACTGCCCATAGACTCAACACTGTTCATAGACTCAACACTGCCCATAGACTCAAAACTGTCCATAGACTCAACACTGCTCATAGACTCAACACTGCCCATAGACTCAACACTGCCCATAGACTCAACACTGCTCATAGACTCAACACTGCCCATAGACTCAACACTGCCCATATACTCAACACTGCCCATAGACTCAACACTGCCCATAGACTCAACACTGCCCATAGACTCAACACTGCTCATAGACTCAACACTACCCATAGACTCAACACTGCCCATAGACTCAACACTGCCCATAGACTCAACACTGCCCATAGACTCAACACTGCCCATAGACTCAACACTGCTCATAGACTCAACACTGCCCATAGACTCAACACTGCCCATAGACTCAACACTACCCATAGACTAACACTACCCATAGACTCAACACTGCCCATAGACTAACACTACCCATAGACACTGCACCTCAAATTATCACGGTTGGCTATGTACAATGCAAAACGAATTTCAACGTAATTCCATATAAAGCCTTCGTCTTAAATTCTGGACAATTATCACCTTGTAGACCTGAAGATGAGGGTTTGGGCCAGGGTCAGGGTCTCGCCTTGTAAACATCAGGGTCAGGGTCTCGCCTTGTAGACGTGAGAATGAGGGTTCGATCTGGAGTCAGAGTCAGGGCCTTGCTTTGTAGATGTGAGGGTTCAAGCCGGGGTCAGGGTCAGAGTCTCGCATTATAGATGTGAGTGTGAGGGTTTGAGCCGGGATCAGGGTCAGGGTCTCGCCTTGTAGACATGAGTGTGAGGGTTTGATCTGGGGTCAGGGCCTTGCCTTGTAGATGTGAGGGTTCGAGCCGGGATCAGGGTCAGGGTCTCGCCTTGTAGACATGAGTGTGAGGGTTCGATCTGGGGTCAGGGCCTTGCCTTGTAGATGTGAGGGTTCGAGCTGGGATCAGGGTCAGGGTCTTGTAGTTGTGAGTGTGAGGGTTCGAGCTGGGATCAGTGTCAGGGTCTCGCCTTGTAGACGTGAGGGTTGCGACGAGGGTCGGTGAGGCAGTCGAAGCGCGTGTAGAGGTCGTTGAGGAGCCTCACGATCACCATGGCCCCCGTGGCGGTGGCGTGATGTGAGCACACCTCCTGGAAGCGCACGATGCCGCTGAACAGCACGGTCACCTGCACGCGGGTAGAAACGACAAATGTCTCCCCACGTGTGACCTGCACAGGCTGCGGGAGCAAGTGCTGTTAGCGAGTGCCTATTAAGGCCGGTATGGCACACGAGCGGGCGGTGTGTGCCCGGCCTCCGCCTTTGTCAACAGAGATGTTCACGCACTGTACCAGGTACTCATTTAAGGCTGACCCAAAATAGCGATCGCCCCGATACCATCTCAGATTTCGATCGCAGCTGTGTATTAGCCTTAGCCTCGGCGTGGTAGTTAGCGCACGGCGCTACAGATCTGGTGGCCTGAGTTTGATTCCTGGCCGCAGTTAACAGTAGTGGTGAGTGATATCTGAACTGATCCTGGGACACCGACACTCACCAGTGTGGTCAAGTATTGCCAAACAGCTGGCATGGAGAGGCTTTCACCCATGAATGGATTGACAAAGAGTAATACATGTACACAACACCAACATCAATCTTACATTTTTCTTGAGCTGAAAATGCAATTCAACAACAGTAAAACCTGTGTGCAGGCCGGAAATAAATTATATTACACTCAGATAAAAATAAACTAAGGTTTTTTAAACAGTAAAGCACAACAGGAATTCTAGCATAATTTGCAAGTTGAGATTAATCATCAATCTTGGGTATATTCTGCATGTGGTGGCAAGATTTTAAATACCTTTCCGGGTATACGGGAGGTCGTGGGTTCAATCTCAACCCTGACGCCTGTATATTTGGAGTTTGCATATTCGTGTTGATTTTTCTCCGGGTCCTCCGGTTTTTCTCTCAACATTTAGAATCAACATCACGCGTTTACAGTATCTGGCTGCTATACATTTCCACGTAAAAAGCCACTTCGTTGCAAGTTCATTTGTAATAGCTAGGTCGCTTCTGAAAAATAGCTATATTGCTCGGTGGGCCTTACCTGGTAAAATAAAAAAGAGTTTAGTTTAAAATTTCACAAAAACAGGACTATCCTGGCCGCGTCGGAACGTCTTGGTAGCGTCAAAGTCCAACCTGCCAGCTGCCTTGCTAATTCGCGTAAGGCACCGCAGTGCCGAGGAGATCTAAACTACCTCGCCTGTATGCAGGAGGTCGTGGTTTCGATGCCGACCCTGACAGTTACTGTATATCTGGAGTTTGCGTGTCTCTCTCTCCCTGTGGTCGCGTGGATTTTTTCTACGGGTCTCTAGTTTTTCCCTTCACATTTAGAAACAAGTGTTTAGAGTATTTGGCTGCTATACATTTTCACGCGATAAGCCACTTCCTTGAGGAATCATTTGTGGCCAGGTTGCTTCTGAAAAAGAGCTACATAGCTGAGGGGGCCTTACCAGTTAAAATAAAAAATAGTTTAGCATGAACTAGTTTAGGATGTTTACTCCTGACATGCTTGGATTTCAATTAAAATTTATTCCCATATGCAATAACAGCGCTTACAGGTACCCCTTAATACATCACGCATCAACATTAGAGGTGTATAGACAACATATTTGTTATTTAATTGTCACTTTTACATAATTCCGTTCACAAATTGTTATTTTTTATAATTGTGATGCAACAAATTAAAACCATACATCAATGAATGCAGCGTGAAGCTAAGGGATCAATGCAAATACCTGTAGATCAATTGTGGCAGCTGCTATACATTTCCACATTTTAGAAACAACGTGCGCTTAAGAGTATTCGGCTGCTATAAGTTTCCACATGATGATGAGCCCACTTGGTTGAGCTATCATTTAAAGTGGCCAGGTCACTTCTGACTAAAGAGTAACTGCATAGCAGCTCAGAGGGGCCTTCTTGCCTGGTACAATAAAAACATAGTTTTTATCGTTTAGTAAAAAAAAATTCTATTGAGGCAATGTGCGGGCCCGATACATCACGTTATGATGCACGCACACACACACCGCCAACATTAAGCCAAACCGGTTGTGAAAAGCAGATAGGGAATGGGCTCGCTGCCCCAAACCATACTGGCTCTCACCGAAACGGGACAGGGTAACTTTACTTTTTAAGTAAGAGGGAAGGGATGACAAGGGGGGGAGAGAGAGAGGGATATAACCAAAGCACGCCTGATATAAAGAAATAAAAACACAAGAGGCGACCCAAACGAGAATGGTTTCTTTCCACCTCTCCGATTCCGACTCCCGTATAATTTCCAGTGGCTATGCCCCTTATCCTCGGTCAATGTCTCCCGACCCCTCCATCCTGCTTAACTTATTTCAGCTGTTGTATAAGGGAGGACCATCTGGCCTCGAATTTCCCCCTCCTTTCCCCGAGAGCTTATATAGTTTTGTTTGTGTGTGTGTATGCGGAGAGTGGAGTCCGCGCGCTGCAGAGCTCACCTGTGTGTACCTGCGCGCCGGCACGGGCCGCTTGTGACGCAGCTCGTTTGCCACGGATGGAGGCAGCACGGAGTAGAGGAGCCTGCGACCAGCCACCCAGAGTGCGACGCGGGGGTTTAACGCAGCGCAACGTGGCCACAGGGTACAGCGACCAAATCGCTCGGAACAGAATCAGCAAAATATATAATCTATTTTTTCCTGCAGTCACGAAAGTTTCAAATCAATCTATTTGGTGTTTGAACATCTTAACACGCATCCTGTTTAATTTTTATTGTTTTCATACTTTGATAATGGAAAAAAGGTCCCATGATATAGCTGCTCACCCCGAGCTATAAATGCTCTGATACGCCCATTATATTTGTGCTGTTCGCCTTTTGGCGTTCTCTGGTCTGACACTGGTGGTGAGACTAGGCCATAAAGAAAACTCTCTTTGGAGTAGGCCAATCAGTTTCAAAGACAATGCGTACATTATTATCCGAGCACGTTTGTTTGCATGTTATTGCCACAAGTATGTATGGTTAATGCATAGATTATTCTTCGCAAAAGGTATAATCTATTTGGTGTTTGAACATATTAACACGCCTCCTGTTTTACTGCCAGAAGGGGTAAACCTACTCTAATTTTTCATACTTTGATGCTGGCAAAAGGTCCCATGATTTAAAATCAGAATCATCGGAATATTTACTTATACTGGGGGAGGAATCCGGTGAGCTACAAAAATCTATTTGAACAGATGTCCAGTAAGGGTCACGGGGTCAGAACGTTACAACAACAAACAATTCGGAAGGCCATAAAACCTCGGTGGTCTAGCAGCCGAAGGTTTTAGAGAGAGCTGCTTGGTCAGTTCGACTAGAGAAGTCGAATTAGTGATGATATTGTTGGTTTTCGTGGCTAGGTGGTTGGTGGGATCTGGTACAGCTGCCATCATTAAGAAGGTCCTGCATTTTGTTGTTGTAAGTGGTTTTATCCATGATGACAGTGGCATTGCCCTTGTCGGCTGAGAGGATGACAATGTCATCTCTCTTTTTTAATTGAGCGAGTTTTAAACGCTCGTCCTTGCTGATGTTTCTAATGGGTTTCTTAGCGTTTTTGAAAAAAGTATCGATTTCAGATCTTGCAACGTCTGCCGGGATGTGTCCCAAACCTTTGAGGGCTACGTCGACCTGGGCAATGATACCATCTTACCAGGTAACCCCACTGAGCTATCAGCTTCTTTTGTAGAAGCGACCTGGCCACAAGTGATAGCTTGACGAAGTGGCTTACCACGTGGAAATTTATAGCAGCAAAATAATCTAGATGAGATAACGCTTGCGAACCTGTGAGATCTCGGAAGCTAATCAAGGATAATCCTATTCTTTGGTTCTTTTGGTAAAGTCACGTAGAGAGAGAAAATAAAAGTAAATAAAAGAAAAAACTATGACAGTTCGATCACAATATAAGCGATCGTCATCAAGAGGAAACAAAAAAATGATGATCGCTTATGTTGTGATTGGAACGTCGTAGTTTTTATTTGATTTACTATCATTTTTTCTATCTACGTGAATTTACCGAAAGAACCAAGGAATATGAATTCCTGCAGTCACGAAAGTTTTAAGTCGACATTTAAGGATGATCCTGGATAATAAACGAATGTGTAACCACCACCACGCACAAACAGGATGCTATAGGCTGTGGGACACTATGTTACGGGCAACAGAGGGCAGTGCAGCATATCCCTCATTGTGCTGTACCTCTAAGCTCCCCGCATTCAACAACCTGCGCCGAGTGCCGCAGTCACCTCAATGGGGCGTTTACCTCCTGGGTCGATTGCTGGCCACGGCCATCATCAGCGGTGATATATTTAACGCAATCTAACCCCCAAAAAAATCAACTTTACTATGGATAATCTGAACCAGCTCCCGGGGTCTCTTTCCAAGTCGACTCGGCCTTAGAGGAGTCTCCGGCGAATTTTGTTTGACATCGGCGGTGGGTGGGAGAGACAAAGGCGGCCTTCGGCCCCCGACGCTGGCCACAACACCCTCCGTCCGTGGCTCGTGCCGGGCTTCGTAGGCGCTCGCTAACAGCCGTGTGGGGAGGGGGGGGGGGACTTGTGTCTCCTTGTCTCCGCGTGCGTGTGTGCGTCCGAGTGGACGTCTCGCACCGGTCGGTCTTTTTCTTCTCGTCGTCGAGGGCGCGCAGAGCGTGCTGCAGCCGGTCGGTGAGCTCCTCCAGGGCGGCCGTCAGCCGGTACTCCTCGCGGAAGTGCTCGCCCAGCAGCACCAGCTCGCGGCTCGCATCGTGCAGCGGCAGGTCGCTCAGGCACAGCCCGCGGCGGAGCAGCGCGCTCAGGTTCATCACGCTGGCGCCCGCCACCGGCAGGAGGAGCGCCACCGTCGCAAAGGGGGGGGGGCATCGGAGGGCGGCAGACGTGGTCGCATTACAGACACCGCCGGTGCCGCCACCAGTAACTACGGTCACCGCCAACGCCACCACCATCATCGCTGCTAACATTATGACCACCACATTCGGCCACAACCGCCACCACCAGCAGCAGCACTATCACAACCAGCAGCACAGGTTGAAGAATTAGAGCCACCACCACCGACGATGATGGTGCTGATGACTACGATGGTGGCCATGAGGATGATGTCGTTGTTATAACCCGCTCACCTAGGTGAGCAAAGGAAGAGCAGGTTCTGAGCCTCGGGCAGGTGCACCATCTGCCCCTTGAGTCTCAGGCTCCCCACTTCATCCTCGGACAGCTCACTGTCATCAGGGCCCACGGACAGAACCCCTTCCTGTGGGCGACGACCACACACAGCCCCAGTGACCACACGCAGCCCCAGTGACCACACCTGGCCCACGCATAGACGTGAACATTCATTGCGTGCAAGACACCCACTTTTAATGTCATTACAGCAAAGCACAAATCGCGACCGAGCGATCTAACGTTCTGGATTAAGGCTCCAGTATTTTTGGAGGCGTGGGTTTCAATCCCACCGCTGCGTGGAGTTTTGAGTTTATCGAACATAACTTGGATATACGAAATTGGGCGGGGTTTACCGAGGGAGGGGATGCCAGCTCACTGTGTGTCCTGGTTGAGCCTCCGATAAATGTTGCAGCTCTAATTATGTAATTGACAACCCTAGATCGATAATGGAGTTGCTGACAATTTGATTTCAACTCTTGAAAGCGTCTCAAGAACAATTTTGCATCGGATTGAGTGACAGATCTCGGTAACGGTCTCTTTCGGCCTGCCAACATTGCTCCGGCTCCACGTCCCCAGCGGCCTGAACGACCGCCTCTTGGGTTCATCGCTGTTACAATGAAACGTCAATAAGAGAGCAGTGGGCATTATCGCTTGGGTTGGCGGTACCGACCTTGGTGCGCAGCACGAAGACGGTGTTGATGTGGGAGAGGATCCCGTTGAAGGTGAACTCCATGTGCGGTCGAACGAGCGAGAACACGGACAACAGATTACAGCTGCCGGGCTGCAACTGCACTGACACACAGAGACAAAGATCCCCCGCATAGCCTTAACATATGGTTGGGGCAAGTGCTGTTAGCTGAGCACCTATGAAGGATTGCATGGCACACGAGGAGGTGGGTAGCCAACACCATTCCCGGCCGCCTTTGTCTCCCTAGTGGCGATGTTTATATACCGCACCAGATACTCATTTGAGACTGAGTAAAACTAGGGAAGGCCCAGGACCGATTCAGATAATCGTCACCGATGTTGGCCGTGAGCGAGGATCGAACCCGGGTCGCCGGGTTCGTAGCACAGCCCGCTAACCGCTACGCTATCGCACTGACACATGCGTGCACACGTACACACACATGGAAAACCAACGATGCCCCCATATAGCCATAGAGACTGTTGGGGCAATTTCAATGTGGCGGTCGAACGCAAGTAAGGGTGAGACGATCAACAACCCTTGCATGGGCGAGGGAATGCACGCGCGAAGATCTTGGGACCAGTCGCCACACCTGCCGAGCATTCGTTATGCGATCAGTGGCGCCACGGTGGCGAGATGTTAACTACCTCGTCTGGTTTACAGGAGGTCGTGGGTTCGATCCTGACCCTGACGCATGCCAGTATATTTGGAGTTTGTGTGTCTTTCTTGCGTGCCTCTCTTCCTGTGGTCGCGTGAATTTTTCTCTGGGTCCTCAGGTTTTTCCCTCCATATTTAGAATCAACATCACGCTTTTTCAGTATTTGGCGACTATACAATTCCAAGTGATGATAATCCACTTCGTTGAGCTATCATTTGTGGCCAGGTGGCTTCTGACAAAGAGCTACACAGCTCAGTGGGCCTTACCTGGTAAAATAAAACAAGTTTAGTTTTCGGTGAGGGGCAAGTCGAGAGCGGCGCTACTAACGCCGGCTGTCCTGACCTGCGGCAGCGCACGTGCGATCGCGTGTCCACACTGCGTGAGCACGAGCTCCGGATCGAACATCAGGTGGAAGGGGAAGGCGTCGCAGAAGGTGCTGGGCCCCAAGCGTGGCTGGCGCCTGGGGCCACGGGCCTGAGGTCCCTCCTCGGCCTCCTCGATCGACACCGCCCCTCCAATTCCACCGCTGCCGCCACCGCTGGCACCTCCGCCGCTGCTGCTGCCACTTTCCCGGATCATGAACTGCACGTGGTCTGAGTCTTCGCCCTTCTGGGTGACCACCTGGTGGATAGCGAGGAGAGCGAGAGAGCAAGACGGGACGAGCGGTGGTGTCAACCTATGGCGAAAAAAACCCACCAATGACCAAGCGAAATGGACCATCGTTTTTATTGTCGTAGCGTGAATTGTTCACGCAGTTCACTCGTTATTCAACATCGTTATCGTGATTAATTGTCCGGGCATATCAATTTAAATTGTCCTGTAATATTACTTTAAATCCAAAACCTGTAAAATTATGAGAAAGCCCATCACAACAAGAATAGGCGCGAGGCTAGAAACAAATATATTTTAGGTAACACTCGGCATGATGGGAGTTGTGCCTTCCTGCTGTTTGTGAGCAACACCTTTGTGTGTTGTTAAATCTACCCGCGTATTTCCACATTCCCATCATCTTGTTTTCTTCCCGTTATCATTATCATCGGCAAAGTCAATGTAATCGTCATCATCATCCTGAGCAACATCTAGAATCTAGATTTTAAACTAATTTCTTTATAACTGCTTTTTGTGTTTAGTTTGTTGTCCTTCCCCCAGACCACCAGTGAGCCGCGGTTGGCTACGTACGGTACGAATACAAAGCACACATTCGGCGTAGGTTGGAATCCTGCTGTTGTCGTATCCGGTGTACAGCTGCCAGTCCCCAGCTCACCGCACTCGATATAATGAATTGTGAAGCAGCCAGGGTGATTAATGATCCAGGAACTCGCCGATAGTTGGGGTTCAACATCCTGTACATCAAGGCCGCAATTATAATATATATTGGGGGACACACATCCCCCCCAATATTCAAATGTGCTCAAAATGTCCCCCTCAATATATTGCTATAAAATAGATTTCTGTTTATATGATTGTGGTTATGGTTGTACTTTATTAATCCCTAATATCTGCATTATTGTAAAAAATGCATTAAAAGTCTATGCTATATGTTAGTGATTTTGTTTTGTTTATTTTAGGCAGGAAATGAGTTTTTAAATGTAGATTTTGGGGGGGGGGGGGTGGGACCCCCAGACCCCCTGGAAGATTTGGTCCCCCCCAATGTTGACTCCATGGCTACGGCCTTGCTGTACACACAATCAAACCGACACTCGGCAGAGCAATCGGTCGCCTCGCCAATTGAATTAAAGCTCAGCTGGAGAGACGACCACGACCACTACGACGGTGCCATTCGTGGCCGCGACGACGCCCGCCCCCAGCCCCCCTCCCCTGCCGACCTCCATGTCGACGCTGGTCCCGAGCAGGCGGCTCGCGACGGTGCGCACGATGCCGATGACGATGTCCTCCAGCCCCTGGCGCTCCGAGTAATAGTGCAGCAGCAGAGCGCGCTCGCCCGGCACGTCCGAGCAGCGGAACGACGGCGCCCGCATGCCCGGGTACACCGTCGCCAGGTGGTCGTGCAGCGCGTCCAGGTTCTGCCCGATGGTCGGGATTGAAGGAAACGAGAGGCATCTCTGGTTTTCGTTCGGTTTAAGCAAAGCTTACAGCAGAATCAATTCAACGATGGAATTAAAAACTCAACAATGTTATTCACAGTAAAGGTGTATTTTTTGGGAGGGTTAAATCGCGTAAGTATAAATGTGTCGTTGAACCCTGCCACCACCCAACACGGCCAATTAGGCACGTAGACAATACGTGCCAGTTAGTTACAACATTAATATTTACGAAATCTAACCCCAAAAAATTGCTTTATTACGGATAATAATGCTCACGAAAGCCTACATGTCAAGAATATTTATTTACACAGGAAAGCCTCGCTGAGCCTCAAGACTCCTCTTCAAGAGGGTTCTGCCAAGTCTTCAAAGTAGAGGCGGCGATGATGCTCTGCGTTTCCCAATTGAGTAATTCTCCTGGGGTAATGGCACATTTTTTGCAACTTTGGACTATGTCACAGCATCTGCAACGTCCGCTACGAAGCAGCGTGCCTTGATTGTACCAACCTGCAGGAAGTCCCGGACGTTGGAGCCCAGCACTCGGAGGATGGTGTCGTACCCCGACTCCTGGCAGAACTCGACGAACATTTGCCCGAACGTGCGCAGGATCTCGCTAGATTCCACGCCTGCGGTACAGCGCACTCTGGGTCAACTCGGCCGCGAGAAAATGTGTTACTGGTGCCAGTGTTGATGGGCTGGGACTAAAAAAATAATCGGCACCAGGCATTTGTAAACACACACCGGCCAAAATTCGGGTTATGAAGTGAGATGGATTTGCGATGTAGCATATTCGCGTGATTTTGCCTTGTGACACTTATTGGCGCATTTGGGCTGGTCCAAAAAATCAAATGGAGGGCCGGTGTGGAATAATCTTTGGGGCAGCCGAATATGGGGACTCAATGCCAACTGGGAACATAAATAAGCAGTGAAGCGTATACGTTAGAGGTAATAAAATATTTTAATAATAAAAAAAAATTTTTTACTCTGATCACATTTTCAATTTGTTCACACAGACCGGGTCCATCGGCCCTCAGAATGGATCGGCCCACCAGGTATTTGCCCCATGGTGCTGCTGCCATATGGCCAGTTTGGCCGACCTGGTGCCCCGTGTGAACATCGACAGTCGGTCGGCAAAAGTGGCCAGGCCTGGTTCTGGCCGCACCGCCTCAGAGTGCGCCGTGCTCTCCTTCGTAGGTTCACCGCGAACAGCACTTGCCACAACTGTTTTTGTCTAGGCTAGTCTCTGCTGAGGTTTCAGTTATACTATGGGAACCTCATTTGCCAGTAAAAATATGATAATTGTTTTTTTACCCTTCTATCTGGCAACAAAACTGACACCTTTTTACAAGGAGTCATGTTTGCATAGACCGCAATACCTGCAGTCATAATACAAACAAAAGACATAACTCTGATAATGTGCACTGTCCTTGAAGTTGATTGGTCCACACCCGAGACAGCTTTCCTTAGAGCCTAGTCTCACATGGGTTGGACCAGATGACGCCAAAAGGCGCACAACTCAAAGACAATGCACCATCAGAGTATGAGAGCTCGGGGCAAGCATCTACACTATCCAACCCATGTGAGACTAGGCTCTTAGGAAAGCTGTCTCGGGTGTGGACCAATCAACTTCAAGGACAGTGCACATGATCAGTTATGTTTTTTGTTTGTATTATGACTGCAGGTATTGCGGTCTATGCAAACATGACTCCTTGTAAAAAGGTGTCAGCAGTTTTGTTGCCAGATAGAAGGGTAAAAAACCAATTATCATATTTTTACTGGCAAATGAGGTTCCCATAGTGTAGATGCTTGCCCCGAGCTCTCATACTCTGATGGTGCATCGTCTTTGAGTTGTGCGCCTTTTGGTGTCATCTGGTCCAACACCATGTGAGACTAGGCTCTAAGGAAAGCTGTCTGGGGTGTGGACCAATCAACTTCAAGGACAGTGCACATTATCAGAGTTATGTCTTTTGTTTGCATTATGACTGCAGGTATTGTGGTCTATGCAAACATGACTCCTTGTAAAAAGGTGTCAGTTTTGTTGCCAGATAGAAGGGTAAAAAACCAATTATCGAGGTTTCAGTTTCTAATGTGTGTCCACAATAGCTAGTCCCGGCGAGAGAAACTTGTGGGTCCCGTTACATAACAACAACGACGATACAGTACGAATGCTGACTGGTGGTCCCATCTCTTCGCATCCTCTGGCACCGCTATAAAAGGGAGCAGCCGTCCCCACGACGAGCTTGCACCCAGTGGTATAACCTTCACTAAGCGCATGCCTTGGCACATTTTTTATTTGGGCCACAGCTTATATCGATTTTTTTTCATAAAAAAATGGGCAGCTGAGATATTCACGAGAAAATGAATCGCCACTTTCATACGTTTCGTGTTCATCATAGGAACCAGTTCGATTTCCATGAGATTTATCCATTATTTATCACCGTGCATGATTCGCCGTCTGCATCGTGAGCGATGGAATTAATTTCACTCGAGAGCACATAAAGCAATTACCATCTGTGTGCATTGTGGCAGGAAAGATGTATTGTATCTGCACAGAGGCCAGTATAAGTAATGACCGACATTCAAATCTGTAAAAAGTCTAGAAACCCCATCTATAACAGATGAATATTACAGGCTGGGAAACTATAATCTTCAAACAACACACGCAGGAACGTGTACAAAGAGCACTCAGCCTTTGCGCGTGCAGTTCTTCAGGAACTGTTGATTGGTTATTGCATAACGCACAAAGGCTGAGTGCTTTTTGTTGCAGTAATCTGGTGTCAGCTTGTGAACGCCCCACATGCAGCTGTAAAAAACGAAACCTAGTTTTTATTTTACCAGGTAAGGCCCACTGAGCTGCCATGTAGCTCTAAACGCTTGATGTTGGTTATAAACGTGGAAGTAAAAAACTGGACGATGCGGATAAATATCCACACTTCAAACAGTTGTCAGGGTCGGGCTCGAACCCACGACCTCGTGTATACCAGGCGAGGTAGTTAACATCCCACCATCACTGCGCCCCTATAGAGAATTGGTGGTAGCATACGCAGCGTTGTGAACCGCAGCATACCGAGAACCTTGCTGGCTGCGGAGATGAGGTCGTACGTCTGGGAATCGTCGTAGATGAATCTGACGAGGAACTGCCCCTCCAGGTCCAACTGGGCTTCCTTCCTAAAGAGGCAAAGGCGACAATCTCTCACACTCGGTCCGGATTATGGTCGCCGCGGTGCCATTCGTTTTCACGATGCAATAATTATCGCGATAAAAGTTTTTTGTACAGTTTGTTCTCCTATAACGCGTAGTTTTCACGACGCGAATTGGATATGGATGTATTCGGGAACACATTTTTTTATAACCTCGGATGCGAATTTGATATAACGCGATCGAGTGAACGGAACTACGTCGCACGAGTAGGAATATGCGGTCGTATGGCTGCCTCGGCGTAGCATCACACAAGGCGTTGGGATGCTGCTGGATTCTTCTAGATGCTACCCACGCACCTCAGTCTTTGATCGGTCTGCATAAGCATCTCACGCGTTATCGTGAACTGCGCTTGACCTCTATATTACATATTATTTATTACATTATTATTCCATAATGCGGTGTTCTTCAGAAACGCAACTACCGCGTTATAGGAGAACAGACTGTACCTTCATAAATTGTATATATCGCAGTATGAGTTTTGCTGCACTGCAAGTACGAATACAAAAAACAGTCCTTTAGCTGGAGTTCGCTCAACACGTCCCTGCTGTAGGTATCTTAATCAGTGCAATTTACAAGCAGTTAGGCATGGCTCATTGTACACATGCTGTCAGTCACATGAGAAATCGCTACATAAACTAAAGACGTACCAGGTCACGTAACCAACTATGTTTGTCAATTACTTTGTAAGACGTTTTGCAAAGCAATGCTTTAACGGGAGTCCATCCAACAGCAAGTTCCTTAACGCTTTCCAACTCAGATTGCAATTCTTGAATGCATTTGCTCTGTCCGTCCGTCCGTTCATAACAGGGGTCCCACAATAAGTCCCGTGAAGATGATCCGATATAAACGACGGTGATTCTGCTGCTGCGTTGGCAGTGGGAGCCCACAAGCACAGTGTAACAACACAAACTCAACGCCTTCGTCGGTGACGTTTTAGGCAATGGCCCTTTCTTGTGCCACAAAGAAGAAGGGACATTGCTTCAAACATCGCCGATGACGTAATTTTATTTTTTGTAAGGCCACATTGTTATTTACGAATGTGTTGGGCTATTTATTTTTTTCCCGCCCCATCAACAATGAAGAATTCGTTTAAAATTGTGTTGCTTTTAGCCGAGGAGGGAAATTTAAAAAGAAACGGCAATATTGATGAAAGGCATGTTGTCGAAACCTTGGCGACGAATATATATAAACAACAACAAAGAGCACTAAAATAATTAGCGCTGCCATTGTGACAGGTGACATGGCGAGATGACAACACGCAAAGCCATCTCGTTGTGCAGGCCTGGAACCACGGTCGATCAGATGCCGTCAAAGTCACTGAAGGGCGATCGAAGTGGTGGATTACTTTATTTCCTCCCAGACGTCCTCTCCATACGTCCTCAGGATGAGCAGCTCCAGTGCGTGGTTCACAAACCCGTACTGCGAAAACAAGCGCGGCCGCGCTCCCATGTTACGCGGCCAAGTGGTTAAACACATTAAAACACACAAACACGTGAGGGAAGGGAGACAACCACGTAGGCGTCAAAACCACATTTCCATTTTGAATATAAAACATGCTTTAAATCCCTTTAAACTATTGTCATAAATATGCTAAATTCCTCTTGATATGCAAATTCCTTTGTCAATGCACCCTTCCCCCTCCAACCCAGCTTAAATATACGCTGCCAAGCGTGGTGGTGTTTCATTCAGACGCTGTCTTTCCGACAGACCTGTTCTTCGCCTGAGGACGGCTGCTTGCGTTGTGGCCGAAACGTCGTGAGAATTGTATTTTATTATGTTTTATTTTTATTATTTTGTTATTTCCCTTCTACGCCACTTTACCGAAAGAACCAAGAATATATTGTCATTGTAGTGCGTATTTAATGCGGTGCTGCACTCTGACGTTGTAGGTGTGTTGTTATAACAATTCTATATTTATTTAAAGTTGCGCATTTTGACGTGACGTCACATTTCTCAACCCGCCCCCTCGTCACACATCGTCACAAATGTCTGACCCCCCCCCCCCCCCCAGGTGCGTGACGTCATTTATGGACGGCCCCTAAAAACAGCGGAGCGTAAAGATGTCTTATCAGATATTAATACCAAAATTCCCCGCGACCACGACTGAACGACCAACCCCCCCGGATGCTTCGCGACATTGAAGGATAACCGAGAGCCATAACCACACACGGGAGCTGTTTAGTGTCATCGAGTAAGGGGGCGTCCATAAATGACGTCACGCACCTGGGGGAGGGGGGTCAGACATTTGTGACGATGTGTGACGAGGAGGGGGGGGGTGAGAAATGTGACGTCACTTAA